CCCTCATCACATTTATATTGGTGCCAGTGAATTCTTTATATTACTGGGACAGTTGGTGGGATCTGTGTGCCCCCCTGTCAAGATATATTAGTGGTGACATATACGAGCCTTTATAAGCACCAACCCCCAGAGTTGGACACGACTAGACTTAATATCAGGGGAAAACTTTTACCTTTACCTTTATTTCCAGACCGCCCTCTCTCCCCAAAGGGACTCAAGGTGGTTTACGCACAAAAAAAGGGAAACATTCAATGCCTCAAATGAGTACAAACACATCAAAGGTAATACAAGACAATGCACAGTAACAACAGTAAACTTACAACACAAGAATTAAGCATCAAAATGAAAATAAAACAGAAACAAATAAGATATCATGAATTAAAACCTGAGTAAACATTACAAACATATACCCTAAAAGCAAATTAAGATACATTACATTACAAATGGCTAACACAGGTGTTCATTTAAGATTTATCGTAGCAGCCATATAATACAAGAGGGTTAGCAGTGTTCCAATGGGTTCAACCTGCTTTATTTGGCAGTGTAGTGAGCCAGCTTATAATTTTGCTTCTTCGCCTCCCAAAGCTCCCTCTTGTGGGCAGATGTTGGAGGGTTTTTTTAGCTGAATATGAAAAGGAATCCAGAGAATTAGGCTGCATCTTCACTGGTATGACACCACTAATGTGGTATGACACCACTAAAATTGCCATGACTCAACGCTATGAAATGATGGCATTTGTAGTCTTTTGCTTGCCAAAGAGTGTTGGTACCTCACCAAACTACAAATGCCAAGATTTTGTAACATTAAGCCATAGCATTTAAAGTGGTGTCAGACTGCATTAACTCTGCAATGCTGTCATGAATGACTTTTCAATAACTTTAAAGCATAGGTTCTTTTTATTGCAATTTCCAGTGTGAGAGGGTATTTCAGATTACAGAAAAACATTTAGACAAAGAATGACATTAGACATACGGACATACAGATTCTATGCAACTATATTAGATTCACAGTTACATTGGTTAACAAACAAACAAAGGGTAGTTACATTTTCACTCAACACTCACTCCACATGTACACGCATTTATCCACAGGCATTCAAATATTACTATATCCTTTTCTCCCTCCTGTTAGGCCAGACCCCACTTTCTTGCAGCCTGCCAACGTATAGTTCCAAAACTTCCATAARTTCATAACTTCAAAACTCCAAAATGCATCCTTTCCCTAAGCACAATGCCAAGGACCAGATCTCTGTTTTCCATACAGCAGACCCTGACTCCCTGCACAAAATCTAAGACTCCAAAAGTGCACTTCTTCCTCTTCCCTTGAGAAAGAASCCCCAAAGTGACCAGACTGCTCCCATGCAAATCTGCCACTATCCATAGGTACACTATCTCTCTCCTTCCCATGGAGCAGAGCATAGCGGGTGGAACAGGCTCCTCAGGACTGCCATACTTTGAGCATTATTAGACTGAGTCTTTTATAAGAATATTCTGCTARTGTAGMCCTAAAGTTGTAAATTAATGATAGATGTCTTCCATCCTGGCTCATCTTGGTTTCCTGGCCAGATGTTGATCTTCTTAATTGGTGTTGATCTTATGTTGACTTCCTTCTTAACATTGTCTTATCAGAGTTTACTTTTCCAGTTCTTATTAGCAGGTTTTAATCACAGTCCATCAAGCAGGTAGTTAGTCATTGCAGGTCTGGGTCTTTCACTGGTGTTTCCAAAATTATTAGCTCCATCCATACATTCATCTTCCATTCTTCCATTCATTCCCACACATCATATTAAATTCATGTTTATCAAATCTGCACATCGAATTTCTTATTACAATGGAGATGGACTCAAAAAATTTAGTGGTGTCAATAGATATGTTTTCTCTAGGCATTTCCTAGGTTTTCCAGCAAAACCTTATTAGAAGTTCTTCATTCAATAGAGTTGTTTCATTAGAAGTTGCTCATTCAATAGAGCTCATTGTTATCCATACAAAGCCCCATAACATATGGGGCTCACACTGTATATACATATTGTAAGAATTGTTTTACATACACAGATTAGATTATGATGTTGGTGGTGGTAATAATGATTGTTTTTTCTCCCCTAAAAGCTCCAGTGGCACCTGAAATTACTTCAGTGGAGTATTTCAACAACCTTCTCTATGTTAGCTGGATTTATGGTGATGACAACACAGATCTTTCCCATTCCAGAATGCTGCACTGGATGGTTGTTGCAGAAGGAAAGAGGAAAATTAAAAAGAGTGTAAGCCTAACCACTTTGTGTTACTTTGCTTATTGCATTCAAGTGAATAAAAAGTCATGTTAAAACAAAACATGTAGTTTTTCCCATCAGAAATAGTTGATAAGTGAATCCTCCAAGTGCTCTTATTTCTCAAGATAGTCTCCATTTCCTGATACCTCACACTTGTCTCCATAGACTCTATTTCAATGCCTGGGCCACTTATCTCCCTAAGTAATCGACTTCATTATCTAGATAAATATTTTTAAACACTTTGGCCTTCCAGATGGTTTGGAAACCAATTTTACATATTCCTGACAATTGGTATGTTGGCTGGGGCTTCTGGGAATTGAAGTCAACAATCAGGCAGACCAAAGGTTGGGACACACTAGTCTAGACTGATGATGAACTCTTCTTCATTGAAAGAATGGTTTCTGATATTGTACACAAACTGAAGGACAGCTTCATCCTCACCTTGGGGAACCTGCATATGATGGTCAAAGAAATGCAGCCTTACCGTTTTATAGAGATGCTTTCTGCACCTCTCTTAGGTGACTCGGAATGCCATGACAGCAGTTCTCAACCTTCCTCCAGGAGACATCTACAATCTTTCAGTAACTGCTTGCACTGAAACGGGTAGCAACACCTCTGCATCTCAGCTTGTGAAAGTTGGTAAGTCTTTCTCTTGAAGGTTGCTACAGAGTTTGGACTAGAGTTCTTGGAGTCCTTCATTCCACATGGTCATTGGCCATGCTGTTTGAAGAATCTGGGCATGGTAGCCCAAAAAGTAACTTTTCCAAAACCCTGATGTAAATTAATAAATAGTTTGCCTAGGAAAATGAGTCAACTTAGGGCCCTTCCACACAGCTGAACAAAATCCCACAATATCTGCTTTGAAGTGGGATATATGACAGTGTGGAGTCAGATAGCCCAGTTCAAAGCAGATATTGTGGGTTATTCTGCCTTGATATTCTGGGTTATATGGCTGTGTGGAAGGGCCCTTACTCTCCCTTCCTGTGACTTTAGTAGATTTGGTATTAAATATATTAGTACAGTTGACCCTCTACATTTTGTGGGTTTAATTTTAAGGATTATATTGTTTGTAGATTTGATTAATATGCTCTTTCTAGGCATCTCTAAATCAGGCATGGGAAACTTCGGCCCTCCAGGTGTTTTTTTACTTCAACTCCAACAATTCCTAAACAAGCCTGCCAGGAGTTGAAGTCCTGTGGGAGTTGAAGTCCAAAACATCTGGAGGGCTGAAGTTTGCCCATGCCTGCTCTAAATCCTCCAGCTTCTGCCAGACATCACACTAGAGCAGTGGATCTCAACCTGGAGTCCCCAGATGCTTTTGGCCTGCAACTCCCAGAAATCCTAACAGCTGGTAAACTGGCTGGGATTTCTGGGAGTTTTAGGCCAAAAACATCTGGGGACCCCAGGTTGAGAACCACTGCAGTAGAGGACATAGAGGTTCCTGAAAAGAACACTTTTCTAGGAATTTCTAGGTCCTCCAACATGATTTTATATTCAGTTTTTAATTGAAGGAGTAAGCTAGAGACTTCTAGATATTGCTAGTGGAGTTTAGCAGATACTATATATACTCGAGTATAAGCCTAGTTTTTCAGCCCTTTTCTAGGCTGAAAAAGCCCCCCATGGCTTATATTTGGGTGAGGGTCCTGGCAAGAAGGTGTGGCAGTGAAAGAAGGGTGTTTTTCAGCCCCAGACCTTCCTGCCAGGCCCTCACCTCTCTGCATAGCAACTCCTTCTCTCCTCCTCTCTTGCGCAATGTGTACCTTCCTCTTCTCCTTTCTTGCGCAGTGCACCTCATCTCATCTCTCAGTACCAGTCTTTCTCACTTTTCCTTATTCATATACACACAGAATTTTCCTCAAAATGTATAGTTAAAATAAACTTTGATGATTATTGGAAGGATACATAAGCACATTTGCACTGGAGAAGGTTAGAATAATGATTTAATCAGTGTTGGACAGTCTTCTCTTAAATTACAGTTTTATACAATAAATTCACTGTCATTATTATGTTTATTATATTGCATTATTATAATTGTTTTTTGCATTTGTCTGGGCATTGAATGTTTGCCTTTTTGTGTTGTAAACCACCCTGAGTTCCCTCGGGGAGAGAGGGAGATCTATAAATAAAGATTATTATTATTATTATTATTATTATTATTATTATTATTATGTAAATATTCAAAAACATTTAACCTACTGATGCCTCAATTAATGTAATTTTATTGGCATCTATTTTTATTTTGAAATTTACCAGTAGCTGCTGTATTTTCCATGCTTGGCTTATACTCAAGTCAATACATTTTCCCAGTTTTTTGTGGTAAAATTAGGTCCCTTGGCTTTTATTGTGGTCAACTTACACTCTAGTATATAGGGTATTTATCTTTGGCAACCGTAAAAGACAGGAAAAGAGTGAGAACTGTCAACGAACAACTTACAAGTTGAACTCTATCATTTCACTTTGGCCATAAGAATCCCATTTAAATTATTTCAGTGGGCATGGGTATAAATGTCAGAAAACCAATGATCTGAACTTTTGGCTGCAAATGTAATAAACTAAAAATGACACAAATGTGTTGATGCGTATTGTTTAAATGTGCATTGTTTTTGAACAAAGTTTGGTGTTTTTATGAGCTCCACAATCAATGTTGAATCTGCTCATAATGAACTACTTTAGAATGACTGTTTCTTACATTTAATGCAATAGTGTTCGTAACCAAAACTGTGCAAATATAACAAATCTTAGAAAACATACATGTGTGTGTACTAAAGTTAAGCTTATATTGCAAAAGGAAATGAAGCAATAACTGAATACTGCAAAAATTGAGGCAGAGTGCGGGAATCTGCTCTCTTCAAACAACTTCCTGTTTTGAAATTGGTCTCTATTGCTGAGTGAGCTTTGGGAAGAGTGAAACATCTCTTGAGGACTCATAAATAAAGAACTGGATCTTGTGTTTCCCAACGGATTTTGTCTGCCAGGCTTTCCTGCTGGATCCCAATGACCCATATAACTTGATTCTTTTGTTCCAAGATCCAGCTCCTCCAAGATCACTCTTTGCTGTGAACAAGACCCAAACATCAGTGACTCTTCTGTGGGTGGAAGAGGGAGAAGCTGATTTCTTTGAAGTCTTCTGCCAGCAGGCTGGCTTGAGCCAAGATGCAAAGATCCAGGTACTGTATGTGTTTACCCCTTTCTCAGCTTTGGCTTATCCCTTGTTGAACCTAATCATGGTGGTTCAGATTTAGAACCTGGATTTCTTAGGGCACATCCAGACAGCTCCTTTAATGCGGGAGTTACCGCAATAAAAAGGGGGCTGTTCAGATGATGTCCTGGACAAACCTGAATTAATTCACTATCCTGGCTTGTGGCGAATTAATTTGTTAGTGGGTTTAGTCCACACCTTCTTGGAAGGCGTGGGATAAACACACTACTTCCTATGTCAGTATTCCCACTCTTTTCCAGGCTAAATTAGCTCAGAAAATGGTGAGAATACCAACTCCCTCCCCCCCCCCAAAAAGACCACCAAAGCAGTTTTAAAAACAAAAGAACTTACCCATCCTTCATTAGAGGGCTGCTGGAGCTCTCCTGGCGCCAGGGGGGAGGGGGGAGGAAAATCACTCCTGTGCCTCCCTCCTCACCCTAGGAGAACTCCGGCAACTCTCTAATGGAGGCCAGGTAAATTCTTTTGCTTTTTTACACTGCTTTTGGGGTCTTTTGGGGAGGGGGTTAGGGTGTCCGGGTGCTCTCCCAGATAGTTCTGGGATAACATCTGGACACCCACACCAGGAAGCACATGCTTACTGGGATGTGTGTGGATAGGGACCCAGGAACATTCACTCCTGGAATAATGGGCTGTGTGGAAGTGCCCAAAGTAATTTGTCCTGTATGGAATTTGGTTAAGAACCAAAATGTTTATTTAAACTGAATAGTTATTTTTAACTCAATGGCTATTTTTTAACAGGAAATAGGATCGGGTCAGTTAGTAATAACCATGATATCTAAACATCATTCCGGATATATTCCCAATATTCATGTGAGAGGATGGTGTTATAATATGTCCAGCTGGAGTCATTTCACACATTCTGTCAAACATGTGTTTATTTCTTTTGAAATTTCCAAAGTGGTGTATACTAACAACAGAACACACAGTATGCATCAATCAAAATGTGACTATAAAATTGGTCCTAAGGAGAAAATACACTGGTTTAGAGAAATTTCTGTATTCTTGTAAACCACTATGCTTGCAGAGCAGCTCGACTCACTGGGCTCAACAAGTGACTTGCTTTCTCTGATCCATGTATCAGGGTCTTCTTGTTGGGTGAATACCTCAAGATCCTTCTATTCCCTGGCAGGATATGACCCTATCTAGGTTCTAATCTTTTCCTTCGAAAGAGCAGAAGGTGAATGAATTGGCCTTGCTGCTGAGGATTAGATGAGAGTGGTAGCGTCAACCCTCGGGGATAGTCATTTCATGGACAACTGGCTCTTCTGAGTAGTTCCTGTGCCTGTTTTCACTTTTTCATTTCCTTTGGTTCTGTTACCAAGAAGAATGCCATCGGGGTGTGTGTGCTGTGTGCTAGTGTCTCCTAGCTTGGCATGTGAAAGAGAAAGTCAGCAACAAGTTACCGTTTTATGCAATTTTTCAGAGTGAAGGAAGTTGGACATTGTCTAATTTGAATCTGAGGTCAGAGCCTTAATGTCAAGAGTCAACCAGTTCTGATTGGAATCCCAATTCTTTTGTTTTCATTTAAGAAACAGAGATTGTTAATTGTAATATTATCTGGAAACAGTTATGGCTTTACAGTCTTCACCTTGAATTTTATCTACTGGTATATTAAATGTATGTTTTGCAATGTTTTGTTAAATTTTGTTACATATCACAATTTTAATTGTAAATGTTTTCAGAAATTACCCTAGGAGCAGTCTAGAGAGAATCCAATCATTAAAGGCGCCCATAGCAATTATATTGCTGATCCTGCTGATGTTTTGCTTTTTCTCATTGCATTATGATGGTTGTCATGTATGGGCATATCTTTAAGAACAGAAATAGAGGGCAGACACTGTATGGGAAATAGGTTTGGAACCACCTCACTTACTGATGTGAGTCATATTGGGTTTTCAAAACTGTGTGAAAAGCCAGAAAACCATATAGATTACTAATCTGATTGCAAACAGGGAAATGTTGAATAATTTTTCTTGACTTGGCTTTGCCACCACATCCCATTTATACTTCTCTGTCACATTATCTTGGAGTCAAGAGTGAAAGAACTGAGCTGCATGTTGGGAAGTGTCATATGGTATGGTGCTTCTTATAAATTGGCAAATGTGTATGACATAGGAGAGGATAGCCTCATCTTGAAGGGCTTGCCGGTTGCTTTATGCAAACTGCCCCCTGTTTTTTAGTGTAGCATTTTTTTTCATTTTCGCAATGTTTAAGTGACTATCCTGACTGCTACAGGATGTCTTTGATTCTTTGGGTGTTTTGGACTGCAATCTTCACAATCCCTTACCATTGTCTGCGATGAATGGAATCTTCAGTTTATGCGACTTCAAAAAGTTGGCAAGTGTAAGCAGTGTAGGCAAATATTAAAAGGGTGGTAGTGTTTGCACTCTAGAGGACATCTTGAAATCTGCCTGAAATCTTCCCCTCTAAGGGCACTTCCCGACAGCACCAAATTGCGGGTTTTCCATGAGGGGCAAAAAAAAAAAAGGGGACCCCAGAGCACACAGGCCTGTTGGTTCTGAGATTTCTGCATGCAACATACAGCCTTGCCACTTTGTTACAGGATTTTGAAGCCCACTAGATGACCACCTTTGTATGTCCACTGGAAATTTTGACGTTAAAAAAATCCCCTTTAAATGCGCAGATGCCAATATGCGCATTGTTTGTATGAGTTTTGTTCCTGGGTCATACATATCTGTTCCTCATTGCTTTTATCCTGAAAAGATGGCAAAATTTGACTAGAGGGCAAAAACTTTGTCCTGGCAAGAGAAACTTCAGACTCCACACGTCTAATGAAGTTCGTGACACCGAAAGTTTGTGGAGTAGGACCACTCCTTTCAAATTCAAGACTACACTATTACACTATTTAAAAAGGAACTGGCACTTTCAAACCAGGAAGACAACTTCAACATTATTATTATCATTCAGAGGCTGCATGGCCATCTCTCCAGACAGATTTGGTTGTTTACTTGTGTTTGGGAACAATGGGGTGACATTCCTGGGTTATACATGTCTGTTCCTCATTGTGTTTATCATCAAAACATGGGGAAAGTTGATTACATGGCAAAACCTTTGTTTGTGTGTCAGAAACGTCATTAAATCCCTGTTGACATCAGACAGGCGCCCTCCCTTATGGCTTTCCGTAAGAGCCTAAAGACCTGGCTATTTGAGAAGGCATTTAACTGAGTGCTACATTGACTGGTAATGACATCTGGAACGGAATATGTATTATGAGACTGGTTATGATTCTATGTTATGACGGTGCGGATTAGTTAGTGTAATTTAGATTAGTGTGTATTATTGATATGTTGATTTCTTGTTGTGCTTTATTGTAAACTGTTTTTATATGTTGTACACCGCCGCGAGTCGCCCTAGGGCTGAGAGCGGCGGTCAACAAATGCAGCAAATAAATAAATAAATAAATAAATAAATAAATGTGTGTGTGACGAAGCTTCTCTTGCCAGGATAAAATGTACACCCTCTAGTCAACTGTTACCATGTTTTTAGGGTACAGCCAATCAGGAAACATCTTTTATAACCTGAGAACAAACCAATATTTAAAAAATCCTGTATTTTCTGAGTGTAGGGACATTTGGGGATTCATATATCCACATTTTTGGCCAGAACCAAGATATTCCCATAACTGAAAATCTTGCATTTTAGCACTTCGTAGTGATGCCTCCCATGTTTTCAGGGGATGTGGTTTGATCACCCACCATTTTGAACTGGGAGCTCCTGAGATAAGCTCCTAAGGCCCCTTCCACACAGCTGTATAAAATCCCACATTATCTGCTTTGAACAAGGTTATATGACAGTGTGAACTCAGATAACCCAGTTCAAAGCATATATTGTGGATTATGTGGTTTGATAATCTGGGTTGTATGGCTGTGTGGAAGGGTTCTTAGAGGCAGTCCGTAGATGTCACATGTTGATTTGTCATGTTCCGTGGCACAGAAGCCAATTTGCACATCCTTCATGTAAACCAGGATGTGGCTTGTCTCTAGTCCAGACCACAGTATATATGTAGTGAAGTCATCACCTTCTTGCTTCACTGTGTGTCTGAGTTGTTGGCAGTTTAATGCATGTGTATTACAACACTGGTGATTACAAGAGGCGGCAAGCAGACAAACCTTTCTCCAGAGTGACACAGTGAATTCACTTATACCATCTGCCGCTTTACAGGGTATAATTTGGTGTAATGGTTTTCAGCTATAGGAGAGCAAATTTTGATTGAACACTAGAAGGAAATTCTTGACAATGAGAGTGGTTTGGCAGTGCAACCAATTGCCTCAAGAGGTGATGGGTTCTCCTTTTCTGGGTCCCTTCAGTAGGAGATTGGACATCCTGAACTGAGCAGAGGCTTTGACTTGATGGCCTATGATGCCATTCCATCTGTATGGTTCTATAATATGATAGAAACCCGGATTTTAAATTCAGGATGAGTAAACTACCATTTATTCTTCCTTTTCCAAACAAATCTAGGAACCAGTTACAGTGTCTTCACATGTGGTGACAATCTCCAGTCTTCTGCCTGCTACATCCTACAACTGCAGCGTTACCAGCTTCAGCCACAGCAGTCCTAGTGTCCCAGCCTTCATCAGTGTTTCTACTATGGGTATGTTGAATTCTTGTCCCAGTTTTCATTTGAGAAATATAAAGCATGTACCAAGATAGTTTTGAGAAAACAGCTGCCAATGGCCTGTGCTGTCGCACGCTGGGCCTGTGCATAAGACTGTAGATAGGACATAAATTCCGTGTGCCCAACGGGATGCCGGGGCTGCCTCAGATTAAAGGCCCTTGGATTTCCTTTAAACAGAGTCTTTAGATTGCTTAAAGGTTCAACAAAGTTCTTTATTGATGAAAACAAACAGGTACTTTAAGGCTTTCTTAATAGTCTATTGGCTCTCTCAATCTTATTCACTGAGAACAGGCACTATCTTCATAAACTGTAATTTAACTAATGGGGAAATCCTTAACTTCTAATCTGGGCAGTATGTCTTTGTTGGCGTGGAGCCCCTGCACCCGGTACCAACTGCTTCTGGCTTCCGCGAGTGAACCTTACCAAGCAGAGCTTTGTAGACTTCCAGAGGAAAAGGAGTTCAGGTTTCGGTGATGGCTGGCTGATGTCCCTCAGCAAAGGAGCTGTAAGGCTGTATGGTTCTCGGCCAAGCTGTGGTCTGTATAACCCCGGCCAAGCTGTAGAAGACGAAGCTTTCTACAGGAGCTTTTGGTATTATGTCCTGCATGGAAAGCTTCTCTGTGTGGACTGAACCCAAACTGGCTCCTATTCCCTCCAAAACCCAAAGGGGGCGGGACCAGGGAACCTAACTATAATTGACAGGTGGCTTGCCCTATGATTGCAGCCAAAAGAAGCCACCTATCTGCAGAGTCCCTGAAACTTAGGACTACAACAAACATTCAATGCAAAGCAAACAAAATTGGAGCTTCTGGTACAGCTGTACCTGCACAGGCCTGTGTTCCAAGTGTAAGAACCTCACCTGCCATTTCATAGTGAACAACATGCTGCTCATCACATCTCTGAAATGATATTATTATTTGTTTATTTACTGTATTTATATACTGCCCCTCTCAGCCAGGAGGCAACTCGTGTTATTATATTGGATGGGATATAACTATTTTAATAAATTAATTAAATTAAACTTGACAAGATCTCTTTCTGCCTGATTATGTATCTTTTTGTATTTTTTTTTAAGGCTAGAGATGTATCTTTTGACATTTTTCATTCTTTCATTTGAGAAGGATTAGTTTCAAAGGTTTTCTTTCTGCTGGGTGAGATTGCAAGAGACTTTAGCACCTAATCAATGCTTTCTTGCAATATGGGGAAAAATTTTGTTTTCACACAAAAAAGTTCATGCAGAATTTATTTTTTTAGGAAAAATTGCAATTTTTTCTGGGAGAATATATTAGGGTTTTGTTGTTTTGGGGTTTTTTTGTGAAAAAAAGAAAAGAAAGAAAGCTTTTATTTATACCAATGACAAATCTCAAATTATTGGTGTTGAGGAAAATCTTCATAGAATGTTTTTTAAAAAAAAAAAATGGGTATCTCAATATAAACCACTGAGCTGCTGAATTTGCTGAAGGAAAGGTTGGCGGTTCAAATCCAGGGAGCAGGGTGAGCTCCTGCTGTTAGCCCCAGCTTCTGCCAACCTAGAAGTTCAAAAACATGCAAATGTGAGTAGATCAATAGATACCGCTTTGGTGGGAAGGTAATGGCGTCCCATACAGTTATGCTGGCTACATGACCATGGAGGTGACTATGGACAACTCTGGTTCATCAGCTTAGAAATGGAGATGAGCACCAACTCCCAGAAACTAGGCTTAATGTCATGCACTTATGCTGCCTACATGACCATGGAGGTGACTATGGACAACTCTGGCTCTTGGGCTTAGAAATGGAGATGAGCACCAACTCCCAGAAACTAGGCTTAATGTCAGGAAAACCTTTACCTTTTTACCTATCTCAATACATTTTTATATGTTCTTGGGACTAAACGATTTGTGAAGTTTTTCTCCCGATCCCTACATCATACTGTGGGTTCAACCCCTGTGCCGGCAGGACTGAAGACCGACAGGTTGCAGGTTCGAATCCGGGGAGAGGTGGATGAGCTCCCTCTATCAGCTCCAACTCCTCATGCGGGGACATGAGATAAGCCTCTCACAAGGATGATAAAACATCAAATCATCCGGGCATCCCATGGGCAACGTCCTTGCAGACGGCCAATTCTCTCACACCAGAAGCGACTTACAGTTTCTCAGGTCACTCCTGACATGACCAAAAAAAAACCTGATATCAGTCTTCACACTTATATCTTATTAACTTGGATCTTTTGCTTGCCTCTGCAGTTACAGAGATGAATCCAAATGTGGTGGTGATTTCTGTCCTAGCAATTCTGAGTATCCTTCTGATAGGGCTGCTACTTGTAACTTTGGTGGTGCTTCGGAGAAAACACCTCCAAATGGCCAGGTAGGTCAACAGTTCCCCTTGAAACACTTGCGAGCCTTTGTAAAGAAAAGAGCAACCAGTTTTGTGCCTATTTGCAGGGCTGGAGACCTTCTGGCCCTCGTGACACTGTTCAACTTTTGTTTCCATCATCTCCAATCAGTCTGACCAAAGATAGAGCACCTTGGGAATTGTAGTTGAGTGCTATATGAAGGGACACACATTCCCTGCCATTGCTGTATTGCTTTGTAATCCCAAAGCACACTGATGCCAGAATAACATTTCTCTTTCCTTTCAAGGTTAAAGATGTATATAATTGCATTTCAAAGCATGACTTTGAAGAGGCGAAAAAAGAAGTGTTAATTGGTTCTCCTTGCAGACATGGTGTTTTACCAGCTGTGATGTATTTGATGTACATTAGAAAACCCAGGTGAAACATGTACACTTGGATTAGGATAGTTCTCTTAAATTGGATTATGTACATTTGAGTCTTATTTATAGCTACAGCTATTATCTAGGGTGATTCCCATACACTTTTCAGTTTCACGACAGTGCTGTCTCTTATTTGCTCACTAGTAGAAGTAAAAAAATGGCAGGTAAATATTTGATACTTAAGAAAGGGCTGTAGTTGGATTTCCTCTCTCTTATTAGAAATTATAAACAGCCAGGTGAGTGATGAGGAACAGGGCCTGGATTAAGACCAACTGCAGGGTTGGCTTAGGACCAACTGCAGAGCTAAAATATGGGCAAATCCCACTATATTCTCAATATTCCTATCTTCTTCAATTAGAGGGGAAAGAAGGGGTGGAGATATTCAAACCCACATATTTCTCTCCAAATATTTTCCTGATATGTTTTTTTTTCTACTTCTGACCTATACCCAGGTTTTAGTCTCAATTAAAATAGATCCATGGAATTACTTGCAATTTGGTAAATCAGCTTTTACGTAAATTCTGACAATTTAATGGATCTATCTATTTGAGACTAATAGTTGAATTAAGCAGTTGAGCCTCCTTTATGATGCATGTGCATGCACACAGAAAACACATTCATATACAACGTTCTTAACCTAGATCATAAATGGCTTATTTAATATGGTCAGAATCCAACACTGCACATTGCTTAGGTTTTAGAAATATGATGTGCTTTACTGAGTAGGATTTACTCTTAAGTGATAAAATTATTACAGCTTACACAGAACTTTGCTTTAAACTAGGACTAGGAATATTGAATTCCCCCAAATACTGTTGAATTGCAACTCTATACTATGCTGCTTAGAGTTGATTGGTTGGAATTTCACTCAATACCTTCCTTGTCTAGATAATCACTAAGGACTTAAATATGGCCTGTTTATTTTAGGATATTTATATGCCACTTTTCCTTCATGGGAAAATGTGTTGGATGTTCAAAGCAGCCATCCATGCAGCTCATCTCCAAACTCCTTTATGCTTGCAAAAGTTACTCTGTGACTTTCATGTCTCACTGTGAATTAAAGCCTGGGTCTTCAAAGTCCCATTGTAATATCTGAACCACTGTTGTCATTTTGTTAGAGCTTTGATAATAGTATACACAGGCATAAATCAGCCTTACACCATTGAATGTCTCTTTTTGGTTGATGCAGAGGTTGAAATTCCTTTCTTCCCATTGACCAAAGTTCCCCCAAACTTAATGTAATTACTGCAGCCCCTCCCTCCCAATCCTAGAAGTCATTTTGTGACTTATGAGAGCCAGGAAAGGAATTGGAGAAGTATCCGACACCCAGATATGAACTGATTGTATTCTCTATTGAAATTTCTGGAGGGACTCCAGTGAGCTGCAGTGGAGGATATAATCATTTCATGCCTGACTGCAGGAACATAGCCAGATGTTTCGCCACTTCCACTGACCAGCCATGGAGTGATCATGGTTTAGGCCTGGCATGGCATACCAGTGGTGGTATAGTATGTCCAGGGGCTGGTGTATGGCCAGTTGTATTATAAGATTGACTGACTATGCTGGACTGTAGGGTTGTAGCCCAATATGTCTAGGACTGGTCTCTATAGGTGACATCTGTTATCCACTTATAGGCCATATGTACATGGGAGCAGGTTCTCTACCCAGAACAGGTTTTGCTCTACCACAGGAGCAATATACTGTTGGCCTCTAACTGTTATCAGCCTGAAACTAAATGGGTAGTTGTCATCCAATGTAATCTCTAGACCACCATACCCTTATTCTGGTCTAGAGATTACGGAAGAACAGGAATATGTTCTGGTATCTTATTAAAGCAACATCATTATTAAAGCTACATATTCTTATATCTGCCAATTATAACTTTGGGTCTTCCTAAACCAGGGAATGTGGTGCTGGAACCTTTGTGAATTTTGCTTCATTGGAGAGAGATGGAAAGCTCCCATACAATTGGTAAGTGTATTACAAAAGATATACTACTGCTTTGCCATTTGTCATGCTAACATAACTTCCCTTGAGATATATATACTTTTTGGTTGTTTTTCAAAATAGAGGTTGCCATGAGTTCGCTATTGCAATGTAATGTGTAGCCGATGAAGTTGACATTTTTCATGGGAACTAAAAGTATTTCACTGTCACTTAATGGAACACTTGAATTGATAGAAAAGAAACCAAAGTTTCAAGGAAATGCACACTGATTTGTTACAATACTTAAAATTATGACTCTTGCATTCAAGCTTTAGGAACTGAGACTTGGACCCTATAGTTATGCCAAGCCAAAAAAAAAAAGGCTTGTGTTAGGTTGGGTGATGGGTTTATGTGTCATCAGCCTGCTTTGCAGTCCTGTACCCCCAAAAGTGCTCCATAAAGCTTAGGCGACTCTAGAATGGTTTTTTGGGCTGCAGGAATGTATTGGAAAATCCCACATCCCAACTGAACCAAACTGCCTTCTCTTCACCCAGAGGAACATTTGATTAACTGAGTATGCAGTTTTAACATTATTGCCTTCAAATACAGTAGAGTCTCACTTATCCAACCTTCACTCATCCAGCATTTTATATTATCCAATGCAGTCTGTTTCCCATCTGGATTCACAGCTGTTTCAATATATTGTAATGTTTTGGTGCTAAATTTGTAAATACAATAATTACTACATAACATTACTGTGTATTGAACTGCTTTTTATGTCAATTTGTTGTGAAACATGATGTTTTGGTGCTTAATTTGAAAATCATAATGCAATTTGATATTTAATATACTTTTCCTTAATCCTTTCTTATTATACAACATTTTCGCTTATCCAACGTTCTGCTGGCCTGTTTGTGTTGGATAAGCGAGACTCTACTGTATATCAAAGGGGTGTGTTTTCATGGATTGTTTGTTATTATTTGTTTTACTCATTTTATTTCTTTCATACATTGCAATCATCTGGATGGCACACAAACCTCCCTCCAGCAATGTTGTCCTCACAACAACCCTATGGAGTAGGTTGAATTGATAGAGTGCAATTGACCCGGGATAAACCAAGTGAGTTTTAGAAGAGAGTTGTGACAGCAAACCTTGGGAGATCCTGCTCTAGGCTGAACTGTTAGCTACTTTTAAACATAAAATGTTTGAAAAATGTTGGCTTTCAGTAATTACAATGCTGTGATTATGCTGCTTAGGGTTATAATAATTTCAATTCCCAATCATGGCCATTGCATAATCACAGTAACCAAAAGTACACTGCCCCCCTTTCAGTCTCAAACTTAACTTTGAAGCCTCACAGCTCCTCCTCCAACATAGTCATTTCCAAGCCCCAAGAAAGCAGGATAGTGAGCAATGACATACCCAGTCCTCTCCTGGTTGTAGAGAGCATCGAAACAGAGAGGGGCAACACAATACCAATAGAAACTCTCCCCAGGCATTTCCCCAGCTATTTGTTTTAGTATGTCCAATGACTTGAGAAGAGGCTGGACATGTTGTTACCATCTGATTCTTCATGCACATCAGAAATGGCTGGTTTCAGGCAGGGGCTGCAAGGCTTCAAAGATAGATTTTGAAGAGTATCACTGGAAGACCTTACAACTATGTCTCTAGTTACATCAGTAGCAAGATCACAGTCTTTGTTTTGAGTTCATATTTTAAAAACTGGCAAGTCAAAGTTCAGCACTTCAGAGTTCAGAAAGTTCCTGTCATGCATTCACCAAAGTTGGTTTCAGCTAATTTAATCCTGTCATTCATTCTTTTCCAAAGAACTAGCATAGTGGGAAAACTTTGACCTTAGAAGTGTTGCGTTTGATTCCATTTGATTCAGGTCTTTTATCAGTATTTCCACTGAGAAACTGTAATATGCCACAAATGGCTACACCAGATACCAGTCAGACAGATGCTATAATTTTTCTCCCTTGATATCTTTTTAAAGTATATATCCTATAGCAACAAGGAGCCTAAAGTCAGACTTTAAAATCCATTATCGCTTCCTCAGAGAGGTATTTGAATTTGACAAGAGTTGTCTAATGGAACTCCAGTACCCAAAAGCCCGTTAGTAAATTTCTTTTACACTTCAAGGCAAAGCTCACAGTGTAACATTTTGTATATCTTTAAAATTGGTGTTTCTGAAATATTTGCAAATTAGAAAAAATGCAGATGGCAGTGACTTTTTCCCATTTATTTGCTCATTTGCGTAGGGAAATTACTTTTTTGGATGACAATTCTGGCCATAATGGCTAGAAAATTCCAAGAATTGCAATCCAGAAAAGTAAATGTCCCAAGTTCTGGTTGTGAATAAGATGACACTGATTTCTTTGGAACTTGCTAAGAAGTATCGCAAGACAAAGTTAATGCTTTTTTTAAAGCACCTTTTGCTACCCCACTCTCAACTTCTTGAAAGGTTTCATTTTTCTGCTTCTGGCTGAAGGAACAATTTCTTCATGCCTCTAGTCATGCTTGTTATTTCTGCCCTGACAAAGCAACCTGTTTTGTCTTATTAGTCCTCTATTTTTACCATTGTATTCAACTATCACCAAAAGCAGATATAGATATAGCAAGAACCCAAGGGCATATGTTCAGGTATTAAATTGTTTGACTTCTATTCCTAGCATATCAAAAATTTGTTTTGAAGAACCTAGATATTCCTAAAGAGGTATCATCTCCAAGATTCAGCTAGGTCCTCCAGTGTTGATTTAAGTGGAAAGCATACTATAGAATCATGCCAGAGCAGTTTTTCTCAACCTGAGGGGTTCACCTACAACCAAAGAGCATTCTGAACTTCCCACACATAAACCCCATGACCAATGGAAAACACAGTGTTTCTGTTGGTTTCTGTTGGTCATGGGGGTTATGTGTGGGAAGTTTGCCCCAATTCTGTTGATAGTGGGGTTAAGAATGCTCTTTGGTTGTAGGTGAACTATAAATCCTAGCAACTACAACTTCCAAATGTGAAGATCTACTTTCCCCAAACTCCACTAGTATTCACATTTGGGCATATTGAGTATTTGTGCCAAGTTTGGTCCAGATCCATCATTGTTTGAGTCCACAGAGCTCTCTGGATGTAGGTGAACTACAATGCCAAAACTCAAGCTCAATGCTCACCAAACCCTTCCAGTATTTTCTCTTGGTCATGGGAATTCTGTGTACCAAGTATGGTTCAATTCCATTGTTGGAGTTCAGAATGATCTTTGATTGTAGGTTAACTATAAATCCCAACAACTACAACTCCCAAATGACAAAATCAACACCCCCCCCCCCAACCCCACCAGTATTCAGATTTGGGTGTATTGGGTATTTGTGCCAAATTTGGTGCAGTGAATGAAAATATATCCTTCATAACAGACATTTACATTATGATTCATAACAGTAGCAAAAATACAGTTATGAAGTAGTAACAAAAATAATGTTATGGTTGTGGGGTCACCACAACATGAGGAACTGTATTAAGGGGTCGTGGCATTAGGAAGGTTGAGAAACAGTGTGCAGAGGATCTAGCAAATTTCCAGATAGACTATTTCCCTATGGATCAGGCAAATGAAACCTTCGATATAGATTCTGTATCTTATTGCAGAGAGATGGTGGGAAGATAAGTACCATCAGCATGTGAGCCACTTCAACCTTGTGTTGCTTCTTTCCCTGCTGTCTATCCTACCACTGCTGCATATTATATCAAGAAGTGGCTTGACTGGTGTGTATCAAGAAAATGATTCCAGACAATGTCTCTGTCTAAGGGGAAAACCAAACTCTATCCTTCTGCTACCAGCAAAAACTGCCTTAGTGTCAACAGGATAACGTTCTCTACCAGCAGGGACAATTTGTGATGTTTCCCTCTCCATTGCTGTAGTAGCAGTAGCCATTCCCCCCAGCAGTGTTCTATTATTTAGGCCAGGGGCTAGCATTAGTCTCCAGGTAATATTGGTGGGCTGCATCTCCCCCACCGGACTCCCTGTAAAAAAAAAAAAAGCTCCCAAATGCCTTCTAAAGGTTATTGCGGGATATTTTTGCCACATGTTTCGCTCCCCTGGAACATTTTAAGCCCAGGGAAGGCATTTTAATAACACAAAGTGATTGGAGGTTATTTTTTGTTCACTTCCTGTTTTCAGAAAGGCCTCTGCTGGGCATAATGGGTGAAAAGGTTCCCATGCCTCCAGATAAAAGCAACTTAAGAGGCCATGGCAGCGAGAGCAAGAAATAAATTTGCTGTACTGGAGAAAAAGATCAATTTTGATTCTATGTTTATTGACCACTTGCTTAGACTTCCAACAGTAAACTTTTCCAAGCGAATAGAATAGGTGAGGAGAATGGAACTTGGTTGGTTCTCAGCAGAAAAAGCCATTCTGATCCAAGGGGAAATGCCACCATGCATTGCTTCTCCATTTGTGGTTGATCAATTATGGGTTTAGTTTGTATAGCAGATATAATTTCAAGTATCTCTGTCATTTTAGGGAGTATAACCAGCTGGCACAAATGTTAAAATTGATTTGTTATGGCACTGAAGCAATTCTTTTGATGATAAAACTACCCCAATGAATGAAGAGCCACCAGCAAGCCCTGAAAATATTGATGCTACTAATGAACTAAGTGGAAATCAACCTTCAGTTCCTGCTTAAGCTCCCAAGAGCAGATAGCCGTTTGCAACAATCATTAATCTCCTTTTTGGAGTTCCTTTGATATAGTGTGTACGCTAATGGCACCAAAGGCAGGAGATCAAAGGTACTCGCTAATTAAAGATCTAAGCCTGAATAATGTTAATTAGAAACCTAAAGCTGAACAGCCCAATGCTATGAATATAATTCAGTCCCTACAAATGGTGACAGATACTATTGCAATGAAAAGAAGGTGCAATTGCAGCCTTTAGCCGGTTTACTCTCCTCCAAATCCCATCTCAACACAGCTCTGTCAGCAAGCATTAATTTTAATAAAATGCTACACAAGGTTGCTCAAAGGTTTTTATGCTATCTTTTCTTAGAGGCACGTATGTGAACATGCAAAGAAATATGGGGGGGGGGGTTGGGCAGGGGAATAAATACCTCATCTAATAGAAAGCAATCATTACAAACTCTTGGATATTCTGGTTGTGCCTCACCAAACGACAAATCCCATGATTCCATGGCATTGAACCATGGCTCCCTACCAAATGCAGTTATGGTTCCTTTCCAAATGACCATTGTCCTTGCATCTGTGACACCACTAATTTTCCCCCAAACTTTGGTCATCGAGGTGTTTTGGACTCCCAGTAGCCTCAGCTGCCTTGGGATGCTAGGAGCTGAGGTAGAAAACATAGGAAGGTGACAGTCTGGAAAACATCAGTGGTGTCTCAGATGTAATGAACATGATCATTTGGCAAAAAGCCTGAATTGTTTTTCAACTGGTTAGGTTTAGAACTGGGCAAAAAGTCTAAGTTAAATCCATCTAACTGGATGATATGGCAACCCAAATGGTTGGGAGGAAGATAAAGTATATTTGCCTCCATTTTTTCTAAGGTCTACATGATAGTTTGTTTTGTTTTAGGCATTGTGATGCACCTAGTCCTACAGAGAGGCACAGGGAGTTTTTATTCTTTTCTTGTCCGATGCTGCTGCTATTAGGGCAGTTCAGTAAGAAGACTCATGAGCCATTAAACTACCTGTCCACAAGTTTTGCTTCAGATGACACACTGAACTCAAGGGCATGCAATCACTGAGTCTCCATTTCCTTCCTCATTCCTGTTGTTTTGATGTGTGTTTGTTTATTTATTTATTGCATTTATATACCACTTTTCTCACCCGTGGGGGTGAGGGGGGGGGCGACTCATAGCGGTTCACAGCATTATCAGTGGCAAAATTCGATGCCTCAGATGTATAAAAACATCATATATCAAATCAACAACATATGACAATAGATTAAAACCATTACAACTATTAAACAACAATCACAAACAAAACATAAAACATTTATAGTTTGCATCAATCCTGGGTTGTCTTTAACAACTTCCATATTTTTGTCATGTACCAAATTCCTGCTTGAATAGCCAGGCCTTAAGTTGTTTCCTAAATTCTAGGAGGGAGGGGCTGATCTAATCTCACTGGGGAGGGAGTTCCACACTTGAGGGGCTACCACCAAGAAGGCCCTGTCTCTTGTCCCCACCATTGGTACCTGCGAAGGTGATGGGACTGAGAGCAGGACCTCCCTGGCAGATCTTAGTGTTCTAACTGGGTCATAAAGGGAGATGTGCTCGGACAGGTAAGCTGGAATGGCACCATTTAGGCATCTTCTGTTACATAAGTGCAACATTCAGACTAAGTTAGAAAGCCTGGCCCCAGCTCTGAATGGTATACCTTTCAACTGGTGGGTAACAGTCCTGATAAATATTTTGTTGTTATCCTTTTTCAGCAACTTTTAAAACTTCCCAGATTATGTGGCAGTGGAATCAGATGCTGGGATATAGGACAGTATAGATCCAGCCTGAGACCTTCAACCTGGAAATTGGTGAAAGGCTTCAGATGGTTTAATAATAATAAGGGAATTTTCTTTTACCTAACTCTTTTACCTATCTCAAACAGTTTAATGGCTAAGCTATTTTTTAAAAAAAGAATCAGGACATGTTTATAGGTCAGGTGTTTATGGACTTTATCTCAGCCAAACTGGCATTGCACAGGATATTGCCTTCTTCTTATAAACTTATCCTCTGCTGCTGATGGGAAACCCGATCAATAGCTGCAGATTGTGCCATGTTTTCATTATTTACCTGGAACAATGTGGCCATTATACTTCTGTGTCAGCATTATAAAGCTATGCAGAAATATGGCCACAGATTGGTGAATCAGCACATTTATTTGCATAAAGATATGTGCAATTGTGAGGGTGCCCATCCCAGTATACTGTCACATTGGGTCATTGTTCAGCTACTGAGGAATGCCCATTTTGTATGATAAAGTCCTATGAGCCAGGCCAATTTAAGTGGGTGAGAGGAGCAACACACTTATCACTAATCCAGTTAAAATCAACAGGGTTTAAGAAACCAAAGTTTCAGGATTAGCTTGTTAATCCTGCCTGTTAATGATGCCTCATGTGCTTATGGTACTGGGTTTATAGGTATTCCCAAACTTTGTTTTGTGCAAAATCACAAGAAACACACCACTCTGCCTGGCCCTATAGGGATCCTGACCATGATTTTAAAGAGGGAGGCTGATGATGCTTCAGTGTTATATTAAGGATCTGATTCAAGAGGGATCCCTGGTGTATGGAAATTAATTCATTTTGCTTTATGCAAACACCATGGGGAATTAAGAGAATTACGGTAGTTGTTTGCTCTTCAGGATTAGATTTCTTTACACTTCAGGTGTATCTCCACCATTTTTCTCCCAACACAATGAGGAATATTATCTTTGTTCCACTTGGCAGCTAATATGACCTGGCTCTACCATCTACAAGAATGTTGCATTTCAAAGATGTAGTGAGGTAGTTGCCCAATCCTAGAAAATGGGCCACTTCTTCTTATCTACACTGCAGAATTACAAAAGTTTGACATCATCTTAACAACAATGATTCAGTGCTATGACATTCTGGGATTTTTAATTCTGCATGATATTTGTCCTCTGTGAGAAATATGGTGGCACAACAAATTACAAATCCCAGGACTCCATAGGCTGGAGTTATGGTAGTTAAAATGGTGTCAGTACAGTGTGGATGATCTCTTACTCAGTTGGCGTTGAGTATGTTCCTCTTTTCTTCTGAAATTCACTCCCAGCCAGTTTTGGGAGGAAGTGTAGTCCTTCTGAGCATTTTTCCTTTGCCTGCCTATGTCTACCATGTGATGCATTGACTGCTTGACTTCTGTTTGCCATACTAATCCTCCTTGCTCTATTTTTTGTTAATCTCTGTGTATGTTATCTATTAATACTCACAGGCGTAGGAGTGTATTTGCTTTCCTAACCCTGTTACCCTCCTGCCTTTGGACTGATTATCTCTTGGCATTTTATATTAACCCTTGGTAAGTGATTTAATAGTTCTTTGCTTTGATGTTTTGCTCAATCTGTTTGAAGCCTTCAAAATTAAAATGGATTGCACCCCTTGGAATAAAAGATGGACAGGAATGTAATGCTTCCCAGACCTACATTTTGTTGAATAAAGCATTCTGGGAATAGTTACATTAGGAAGCAATGCTTCTGTATTGTGTACACTCAGTGATGTGGATAAGCTTTTGCTACACACTAGTGCATGGCATTTCTTTCATAGGAAACTTCCATAGCTAAGTGCAAGTCATTTTTTGCATGTTCACGTTGTTGTATAGCATCCTGTTCTGCATGGGCTAGAGATTTTCCAAAATAACTGGTACAGTTTTAAAATTGTCATGTCACAAATTAATCAATGGAATCTCAGTGCATGCTAGCAGTTAATGTGCTCAAATGTGCTTTAAAATATTGGCATTAAAATACGTAACTATTATTAACAGTATGCAATCACTGGGAAGACAGGAAGAAACATAATTATGAGGCTCTCTTTTTCTTGCAGGAGTAAAAACGGATTGAAGAAAAGAAAGTTGACCAAGTATGCCCATTAATGACTGAAAGGATGCATTAATATAGATGCCATATATGCCTTTATAGACATGCCAGCAACCTGTGACATTTTGGAATGCTTTATATTGAGTCAGGACATCCATCTAGACATGTTTTGGGTCATCTGACTCATGGTTGCTCCACAGGGTCTCATTGTGAAGTTTGTTTCATCCTTACCTACCGAGAATCTGCTGATAAGAGATATCAGATAAGGCTAAACCACTGATACTGGTCTTCTTTTGTCATGATTACACCTTCGGTTTTGGCATCTAGTGTTACGGTTTTACCTTCCCTATAAATGGTCCGGTGATCCTATTTTTACCATCCACTTTCATTGATGCAAGTGAGGAAACAGATGAACATTTAAACTAGGTTTTATAGTTGTGGCACACCAAAACCCATGGCATCTAGTAAGCATGGCAGAGAGAGCTGGAACATCTAGTCCCGTGGTTCCCAAACTGCAGTCCGTGGACCACCAGTGGTGCACAAGAATGAAAATATGGCCCATGGCTTCACCATTAGTATATTGTTGCCTCAAAACCATGCAGCAACAAGAGCAACTAATCTTGGGAAACCCTCTTGTAAGGCCGAGGCAATGGTGATGTCGGAAGGGGAGAGGCTGACTACCTACAAAAGATGACTACTACCACATCTGCTCTAGAATTTTAAATATGGTTTTTTGTGAGCAAGCACATGGCAACTACTGAGTGGCATATGCTCTGTATCAGAAACTAGAGCCGATGTGGTCTATCCAATGCGATTTTCTGAATCAGCACCCCAAGTAACCAAAACAAATCTAAAGTTGACCAAAAACTGATACATAACCCTTTTGGTACTAAAATTGGAGAGTGGTCCCTGGTTAAAAAAAAGTTGGGAACCACTGATCTAGTCCAACCACATAGAGAAAGACAAAAAGCTATTTATAATCTCCATTGAATGGAACTTCTTTGCTTTTAGGGTCTATCAAAGTAGAAAATGAAATGCTTGTGACCAGTTAACACCCACATTTTAATTATTAAAATAGCACCAACATGTCAATCCTCTCCTAACTTCTGTGTTCTTTCCTCATTGGTAATTTTTGCTATCTTGACTCCACTCTATGTTCCCTTGGGAACACATATCCCAATTTCCACCTATTAAATTTTGGAGGTTATATTTTATGTGATAATGGGCTCTGCGTATTGTCAAAGCCTTTCATGGCCAGAATCACTGGGTTGTTGTAGGTTTTTCAGTCTATATGGCCATGTTCTTGAAGCATTCTCTCCTGATGTTTTGCCTGCATCTATGGCAGACATCCTCACAACCTCTTAGGATGCCTGCCATAGATGCAGGCAAAACATCAGGCGAGAATGCTTCTAGATCATGGCGATATAGCCTGGAAAACCTATAACAACCCAATGGGCTCTCCCATTATTTGGGTCACCATGTGAGTGGTTTGCTCTTACTCCCAAGCAAGCAATGAGTGGGAAGTTATTGAGGAACTTTCATGTTTACTTTCTAGCCAGCAAGGCACATGAAAGAGTGCAGAGATAGAGGAAAATTTTAAAAGAAAGCTTTTGTTCCAAGTAATCAAATTAAGTTAGTAGAAAGGGTATCTCAAACATGAAAGCAACCTCCTTCAATAAGACACTCAAAGGATGCCCTAGACTGTAGAATGGATATGGTTTGAGACCACCTTAACTGCCATGGCTCAATGCTATGGAATCATGGGAATCATAGTTTTACATGGTCTTTAGCCTTCTCTGCCCAAGAATGCTGGTGCCTCACCAAACTACAAACCCCATGATTCCATACCACTGAGACATGGTAGATAAAGTGTCAAACTACATTGTTTTTGCAGTCTATATGCACCCTTAGTCATATTTTGGTGAGATTTAAATGGATGCATAGTTCCCTAACATCTACCAGAATATTCCTAGACTACTCCCAATACAAATGAACTCTGGATCTTGATGTTCCCATAGGCACCTAACCTCCTTGACTTTCTCAGTTCTCTCATGTACCATGCCCCCCCCCCCCAAATATGATTTACTATAACTTTTACACAGAAATATCTCAAAGCTTCCCAAACTGGTCATCTCACTGGTCAGTTGACTCTTGTGGTTTCTGATGCTCTTCTGTGACACTGACCCCCATTAAGTGTAACTTTCAATCCAACATCTCATAAACCCTTTGTTTATGATATGGGATACTGTACCACTTGTCTGTGTAGCCCAGATAATTGGAGAGCTCATTACCACACTATGTTTTTTTTGGCAGCTGGTTATATTTATTTATTGCAATGCAGTAAATCTAGGAAAATAAAAGGGGCAGGAAAGAACTATTGTCTCTAAGTACCAACCAGAAGGGGGTCTGCCTGCAGTTCCTTATGCCTTGGGCTGGCCTTGTTGGTTTTGTCCCCCTCAGCCTGGATCTCACAAGGACAACAACATTCAAGCATTAAGTACATTTCAGTCTAAGCATTGCAGGAGATACTACATGATAAAAATGTTTCTGACTGACAGAATATTAGTCAGTGGGGGGAAATCAGTTATCTCTAGCTAACAATTCCAACACAGCTTGCCTTTCATTAGCAGTCACAAAGTGTGTGAAATGACAGGAATTTATCTGTTGTCAAGTGCCACCCCATTCGCCCCCCAACACCATTGCTAATTATACTCTGGTTCGTTAATGCTTACAGGTAAACAGGGGTAATTAATTGTTGATAAGAGACAAGTTCCTTGGGGTATGTTTGCTTCAAGGAAATGGGGGGAAATGAGTGTATTCGCTTCAGTGCTGGCAAATTAGTTGATGATAATTAGGCGAGAGAATGTGTTTGCTTCTTCTTCATTATCCACGGTATAAATCCTAACAAATTATGGTTACATCAGGACGCTGATCCATCTAAAATCAATTCTGATTGAACTCTGGTGGAAACAAAAATGAATTCAACCTTGCTTAATTTGGAGCCATCCAGGTATATTTACTATAACTCCCATCATCCTCAGCTAGCACCAGAATGCTGGTTTAGTATGACGGGGCTGTGATGAAATATATTTGAAGGTTGTTGGATTGGAGAAAGGTGATATAAATTTTCACAAAGACCAGCGTATGTTAAAACTCTTTTTGGATTGTACTACTTTTGAGGATGCAGGGTGTCTGTTACAGAATTGAATTGTATCACTCTTCCTGAACCAATTCCATGTGTGTTAGATATTAACGAGGATTCCAGCCCATTCTGAAATGCAACAGAAATATAACAAAATAGCCTTTGTTTTGATACTGGCAGCATTCCAACATGTGAGCGTTCCCCTTATATTTCAGTGACCAATGATTTTAACCAGATAGGCTTACCATCTCCTTTAATGTTTGTGGAAAATATACCGTACCTAACATTAGCTGGGTCAATTCAGATGGTTGGTTACCTGAATTGGGAGAAGTTGAAAAGATTTATATGTCTTCTATAGCAACTGATGGCTCTTGTGTCCTTTGGGTATCAAATCCACTCTGCACTCTAGTTTGAACTTTTAAGGAATTGTCTAAGGTGCTGAACCTATTTTGGAAATCAGAATCCAGCAATTCAGATAGTTCCTTTAAAGCTCAGGCTAAAACTCAGAGTGAATTCAGGATCCCAACACAGTATCACTTTTAAGCATAGTATTTTTCATAGGGTTGTTGTGAGGAACAGCTAGGGAGTGGGTTCATGAGTCCCGCTTTGATGTCCTTGGAGAAAGACCATTTTAAAAATAATAAGAATAATGAAGAAATACTGTTTCTATCCTTATCTTATACTTGTTGACTTTCTCCGGTCCCCAGTCAATTCTATTAGATCTAAACATGAAGCTTTTAATGACCTGTTTGATTGTCCTTTGATCCAATTGTTGGATTTTGGGTTTTATGAATGACAGAACTTTTCCTGCATCTGTTTTTTTCAAGCCCCATTCAGCTGGATGACTTTGACAGCTACATCAAAGATATGGCTAAAGATTCTGACTATAAATTTTCTCTGCAGTTTGAGGTAAGACCTACATTAGATACCACCTTCTTAAGTGAGCATGATAAGTAAGGTGGAGTGAATGAAGAGTAGACTTGGGTTTCTCCAGAGTAGAATGGGGTGGGTGGTCAGGTCTCTTGGATCCCGCTCTATGTTTTACATCTTTATACTTATTTCTTCCTATGGTGGAGAGATAAATATGCAATGTTGTACCTAAAGGGGACAGTATAAGTAGAGAGGAATTATGTGGCCTTCCAGATATTGTTGAATTAGTACTCCCAGCGATTCCTCATCTTCTCCAGTTTGACTAGGGCTGCTGGAAGTTGCACTCTACCATAATATTATCACTTCTGTTATGGATCAATATTCTTTGGTCTGGCTTCACTTTTTTCATGCACCTGTCTTTGCCTTAAATGATCATAGGCATAAAAATCTCATCCTTCTCTATGTTAGGCATATAATTTCTTCAATAAAGATTTTCCCTTCACATCAGAATTTCTTTGATACTGAGTGCAAGCAACCAAATTCCACAGCAATGCCTACTTTCTTTGTCCTCATCCTAGGGGACCAAGAGACTTAAATAAATTCCACAGAAGTGGTGCTTCATACTACTACTGCTGCTACTACTGCTACTACTGCGACTACTAATACACTTTATTTATATTCAGCTCTATCTCCCCAAGGGGACTCAGAGCAGATTACAGTATGCAGATATATAGGCAAACATTCAGTGCCTTTTATACAATGAACAACAATAACATACAATACACAAACAAGGGCAAAGGTTTCCCTTTCATCTCTGGTGCCTGGAAGCAATGCTCAACTCTGGCCATGGGGAGGTGCTCTTGTTCCATTTCCCATGCTGAGGAGCCTTTTGTCCATAGACACTCCTGGTCCGGTTGCCGGCAAGGCTGCATGCGTGCCTTTTACCTTCCCATTGAGGCGATATCTATTGATCTACTCACAGTACATATTTTTGAACTGCTACATTGACAGAAGCTAGGGCTAACAATCCTAGCTCACCCCAACCTGCAGCTTCAAACTACTAACTTTCTGGTCAGGATGTTTTTTTGCAGCTAGTGGTTTTACCCGCTGTGCTACCCTACATTCCCACTTTACCATGGTGACATCCCATAGATGGTTGGGATTTGCACTGTAGAAAGGCACTAGAATTCTCTGGCTAAGGACTCCACATAGCCATCTCCAAACTACACTTTCCAGGATTCTATAAGATGTTACCACAGCAGTTAAAGTGAAATAATTGCAGCATGTTGTACAGAATGAGAGGCTCTCCAGTGTAATCTCACTTGGTTAGGATTTAGATGTGGATACTCATCACCATCTACTGGCTGCAGAGAAGTAGAGATTTGAGCGTGGTGTTTTTCTTTTGTGTTTCATGCAGGAACTGAAGCTGATTGGCCTGGATATCCCACACTTTGCAGCAGACCTTCCCATGAATCGTACTAAAAATCGCTACACAAATATCCTGCCCTGTAAGCTATATTTTTAAGAAAGATATCTTTTCATGTCTATTTTTAACAGTACACTTTGCTCTCCACATTAGTTGGGTCAAGGGTGCAAAACCCCCATGAAAATGGGGAAAAGCAAATTGACAAACACTATTTCTTAACCTGAGGGAACACCTTCCTAAGAATCTCTAGGTCCTCCACAGGGTCAATTCTCCCTGAAGGTTGACCATAGCATTGTGTTGGATCTAGAGAGTCCTAGAGAAACAATATTGATCAAATTTGTGAATAAAAAATCTGTAAACATTCAAACTACAGATATGGAGAGCTGTCTTGTCTTGTCGGCATTTACACTACTTTGAATTATCAGACATTAGAGATAACACAAAGATTTGGCATTATTAGGTATCTTTGGAGACCAGCACAGCATTTTGGCCCTGTTGCTATTTTTCTTGCTGATTCTTTGGCTTCATGCTTCCTCTGACCTAGAGGGAGAATGGGAAATGCATGTAATCAATTGTGAGCGTGGAAGCATAAGAGTCACATGGATTATAATCATATTACTTGTTTTTTTCTGCATTTAATTCCATCTCATAATGAGAAAATAGCTTAGTTCCTTTTTTCTTTTCTGGATTATAATCATGTTATTTGGTATTGCTGCATTTAAATTTGTCCCATCATGATAGTCTTTCTTTCTTTCTTTCTTTCTTTCTTTCTTTCTTTCTTTCTTTCTTTCTTTCTTTCTTTCTTTCTTTCTTTCTTTCTTTCTTTCTCTTCRTCCCTCTCCTCCCTTCCCCTCCCCTCCCTTCCTTCCTTCCTTCCTTCCTTCCTTCCTTCCTTCCTTCCTTCCTTCCTTCCTTCCTTCCTTCCTCCTCCTTCCTTTTTTCTCTTACCTTCAGCTTTTTATGTTTAGGCCATACTTAACAATTAACAATTACTGTTTAAAAATGTTATGATACAACCTTCCTTGGTGGTCTTTGTAAATTTATGATCTCCAAGAAACTCATCATAATAATTTTGTAGGTGACAGTGATAAAATCCACTCCACAATGTAGAAGTTGTGAAATTAGTGAAGCATTCATGAAATTGGTTGCAATGTCTAGGGCTTTTCTCCTCCCCAAGTGTGCATACTTATGTTAAACTTCCAGGGATCCACAAACCAAGGTCATTTACTTGCCTCCTACCCTAAATGGTAGACTTAGGGTCACCCTAAATCTTAAACGACTTGAAGGCACACAATGACAACAATCCTAATTAACTTGCCTGTCTTGTTAGTCAAAAAACTGATAAGTTTATGTTAGTTAAAATTTTAAATACTGTATTATTCTTTCATATATTTTTGTACTACAAATAAAATATGTGCAGTGTGCATATGAATTTGTTCATGCTTTTTTCAAACTAGTTCAGCTCCCCAATAATCTGAAAGACCGTGAACTGCTTAAAAGGTTTGAGGAACTCTGGCTTAGACACTGTCTGGTCTTTTTGTGATTGGGCTTGAAGGTCAATCTACCTTTGGTAGTCTTTTTTTTTTTTTTAAAAAAAAATCCCCATCTCCTCTTGCAGATGATTTCAGTCGTGTTCGATTGGTTACAATGAATGAAGAAGAAGGCTCCGATTACATTAATGCGAACTATATCCCTGTAAGTAAATTGGACTTGCATTGGTCAAAGGAGTGGTTACTGTGGCTTAAGAAATATTACATAGGCTGTTCATAAGAACTAATCTTTTTGTAAACTGCAGATCACTCTTATTAGATGCTTAGAAATACTGAAGCCAAATACAATGAAAAGCTTCAATGTGCCAAGAAGCTCTTTGTAGTTTCTGTCTTGCAACAGACTTCCAGGCTACTGCCAGACTATTTTGTAGGTCTTGGCTACCCTTTGAAAAAAATTGAACCCTTTGCTTCAAAGGCAAGTACATCTGGGAAAAGAAGTGTGGATGATAACAAGTTCTGACTTTCAAAATAATGTTAGTCTTGTCGTGTTTTGATGAAAAAAAAAATCCACAGCAGATGATAACTTTCAACTCAGTAGAGCAGTGAAATCTTCAAGTCTTAGTCTTAACTTTAAGTCACTATCTAAGGTGTTGGGTCCAGTTGGGAGATAGAGTTCAGCAGCTTGGACACCTGTTTTAAAATTTTCACAGCTGCATTGACATGGAAACCACCAGTTGTCACTGAAAAAATGTATAAAGAGACTATTAAAACAAGCCACTGTGTGCTTTCTCTCACAGGGTTACAACTCTCCACAAGAATACATTGCAACCCAAGGCCCACTGCCAGAGACGAGAAATGACTTCTGGAAGATGGTTCTCCAGCAGAAATCACAGATCATTGTTATGCTCACACAGTGCAATGAAAAAAGAAGGGTATGTTGTGGAATCTTCCAGGCTCTTGTGTGGAATCAAGTAGATCTAAAGATCTATTTTGACCAGAACAGGGCATCTAGCAGCAGCCATCTGTTTGTGTTAAATACTTGGAAGCTGAATATTTCACCCTGATAGTTTGGCTGGGATCCTACACGTCTCTCATACATGTATCATGTAGTCCATAGGTATGTCTCTGAAATCAGCATCTGCAGGGACCTCTGGGGTCCTCATGGAAGATGTCCTTTCATTGTGTCCAGATACCAGAAAATAGCATCAGAAACTGACTCAAACACACTGGAATACCACAGTCAGTTTCTTAAAATGGTGGTGGCACAGATTTATTTATTTATTTATTTAGCAGGTTTGTATACCAGTCTTCTTACCTCCGTTCGAGGGACTCAGGCCGGTTTCCAACATCAACATTACAGACAGTCATTAAAACATCATATTCTAAATCACACTAAAACATTAAAATAGCAAAATACACTCATATAATTACAGTGGTCAGGCGTCATCAAAAAACATTATTCGTCGTCATCCATCCATATCACAGGATCATGGCTCATTCGTCGAATGTCAATCCCCAAAGCCAAGTTTTCACCTGTTTCCTGAACGTTAAGATAGAAGGAGCAGTTCTGATCTCCAGTGGAAGGGAGTTCCAGAGTCGAGGGGCCACCACCGAGAAGGCCCTGTCTCTCGTCCCCACCAGCCACGCCTGTGAGGCCGGTGGGATCGAGAGCAGGGCACCTTCAGATGATCTTAGCAATCTTGGTGGTTCATAGGGGAGGATGCGTTCGGACAGGTAAATTGGAAATAAGATTGGCTTATTCTATCATTCAGAAGATGATAAGATGGTACCTCTTCTATGGCCCATGCACAGAAGCTGACTAGAGTAGTTTCAAATGACTTTAAATAGAAGATAGGAGGGAGCTCGATTTCATATAGCTCTAAAAATTAAAATTAAAATCTTGCACTGAAACCAAGAAAGAATGGGTAACCAATGAAGAAATATCAAAAGTTCTCTTAAGCAGAACTTTTCTGGGTGGAAAACATTTTTTTTCTTTTGGTTTATTTAGGGGCTCTGTATAGTTAATTTCTTGAGTGTTAGCAGGGCTAGGCATGGAAAGGATCCAAGAAAGGGAGATCTTGCCTCTATAGGAACCTTTGATTCTTTTTTGTCCTCTCTTCCAGGTAAAATGTGATCACTATTGGCCTTTCACAGAAGATCCAGTGTCTTATGGAGATATCACAGTGGAGATGTTGTCTGAAGAACAGCAATCTGATTGGATTTTTAGGAACTTCAGAATCAGCTATGTAAGTTAATGGGGATGGAAATGGTCTTGCAATGGGCTTAACAAACTCTGAATCCATATTTTAAACCACTTGTAAATTTAGCCATTAAAAATGATTGTCTCTCCCCCCCTCCCCCTCCCCCCCACACACACATCATTCAACCTTCAAAGATTAAACCCTTGTGCCATCAGGACTGCTGACTGAAAGGTCAGCAGTTCAAATTTGGGGAGTGGGGTGAGATCCTGTCTGTCAGCTCCAGCTTCCCATGTGGGCACATGAGAGAAGCCTCCCACAGGATGGTAAAATATCCAGGTGACCCCTGGGCAAACAGCTAATTCTCTCACACCAGAAGTGACTTGCAGTTTCTCAAGTCATCCCTGACATGAAAAAAAAAACCCTTCAAAGTTTCCTGATAATTTTGTTAGATTCCTTCAAGTGACTTTTAAAAGAGATCAGTATGAGAAGTGAGTGTGTGCTTGGGTTTTATTGCTATATGTTTTTGAGTCAGTTTTGATTTATTATGACCCTTGTCATAGGGTTTCCTGGCAGGAATTATTGAGGGAAGATTTGCCATTGTCATCTTTTGAGGCTGAGGCTGAAACTCCCAGAAGCCTTAGCCAAAGTATCTTTTTTGAGGCATGCTGGGAATTGGAATTCCACATAGGGATTGTTGCACTATTCCCAACCTCAATTTAGTAGAATACAGGGTTCTAATAAAAGAAATGTGCATCCCTTAGGCCTGAAGTGTACCTACTTCCGACATAACTTGGAAACAAAATTTTGGCTTTTCAGCCCCAAGGTTTAAAGGATTCTGGAATTGTTGTCCTTAATAATAACTTTTCTAAAACAAAAGTTCCCACAGGTATCTTTAAAACCTTGTTGATTGCATAGAAGGCCATCCATATATAAAAAGATAGACAAATATGTAACAAACCTGTTTCTCTTTCCTCCTAGGCAGATGAGGTGCAGGACGTGATGCATTTTAATTACACAGCTTGGCCTGACCATGGAGTCCCTCCCACAAACGCAGCAGAAAGCATCTTGCAGTTTGTGCAGATGGTCAGACAACAGGCAACAAAAAGTAAAGGTCCCATGGTCATACACTGCAGGTAAATCTTTAATTTCTCCCTTTGGAGTTCTCAGGAAAACTCATAGAAGAATGTTTCTTTAGCTTCCCTATCACTAACTGCAACTAAATCTACACTGTCCTCTATCCCAGGATCTGATCTCAGATTATCAGCTTTGAACTGGATTATATGAGTCTACACTGTCAGATAATCTGGGATAAGCAGGTAATCTGGGATGGGATCCTGCAATATAGGGCAGTGTAGATCCAGCCAGTGTTAGTAATACAATTCTGAAGGACATATTAAGAGTGAGAAAGGCCAAGTCTTGTGCAACCGCCTTGAAAGTCACTTGGCCAGAGACAGTATTTATTTATTTATTTATTTATTTATTTATTTACTTACTTACTTACTTACTTACTTACAGCTTTTATATTCTACCCTTCTCACCCCGCAGGGGACTCAGGACGGATTACAGTGTACACATATACGGCAAACATTCAATGCCAATTTTGACATACAACATATACAGACATCAGAAGCTATTTAACTTTTTCTGGCCACCAGGAAAGCTGTCGCTTTCATCTGCGACACTGATTAAGTACTTCCGCATTCCCCGCATGCTTTTCCTGGAGTGCTTTGCTGGAGTCTTTTTTTATGGCCTCGTAAATTTTTGTTAAATTAGCCTCCCCACACATAGGTGGTACCTAATTTTCCTACTTGACAGATGCACCTGTCTTTCAGGTTGCAAAGGTCGACAACAGGCAGGCTACACAATTGATTGGAAACCCACTCCAACCCGGGCTTGCTTTGAACTCATGACCTTTTGGTCAGAGTGATCTTAATGCATCTGACACTCAGCCAGCTGCACCATAATCCCGGTGTAATCAATTTGTACTGGATTTCAAAGACACTACTAGAAGTGATAGTGGCACATTTTGTAGGTGGTATCCAATATGCTGAATTTACTTTTCTGTAAAACTGAGTATCAATTCACTGTTCATAAGCATCCCTGCATGTGGCTTGGTAGTCTATCATTCCTTGTAATCAAGATGGACTCTGTTGCTAGAAATACAAGGAAATCCAAAACCATAGCATGTTATCACCCACTAACTTAGCCCACTACTTTCTGGAAATGATATTGACCAATTGCTAGTGTAGTCAACTGTTGTGCATGGCTCAGGGAGAGGCATCAACTTGCATTTGTGCTGCCACTATTTTGTGAAACTTCTTGTTACTTCCAGTCAATTTCCAATGAAATATGGGGCTTTTTCAAAGTGGATCTGAAAGTGTTGTGCCGTATGTCTCCTAAAGTAATACTAGTTTGGTTGGAAGTCCCTCCCCCAACACAGCAATAAAAGGGTTGATTGAGATAGATAGGCGTATGGGCTACAAACACATGATTCCAACATCAAATGAAAATACAACTGATTATGATGGATTTTTCCAAATTTAATTCTATATCCCAGAATGTCGATGCATCAAAATAAAGTACAGCCTCACTACCCCTCACTAGTATGTAATGCAGTGTGTGTTTTGCAGTGCCGGTGTCGGACGGACGGGGACTTTTATAGCACTGGATCGCCTCATACAGCACATTCGTGATCACGAGTTTGTAGATATACTGGGGCTGGTGTCCGACATGCGGTCTTATCGGATGTCCATGGTCCAGACAGAGGTATGACTTCTAGTTCTATTCATTTCCCAAAATTTGATGGCATTGATATCTGCAGTGATTTCCATTCCTCGCTTCAATGAGGGCTTGTAAAAAGTTGGAAGTGTCAATAAAACTAATTTAATTTTGTGAGAAGGCACATCAAAGTGCCACAATATAAAACAGCAGTGTAAAAGCAATCAGCAGAAATGAAGAAAGGCCAAGCAAATTTGAAATGACATAAAAGCAATGTGCTGACAATGAAAACGCTCAAGGAAATTTAACAATGCCTTAGCTGGCATCAAACACACTTAGAAAAATATGGGCAAGATCCTCCATTGGGAATGTAGAGTATAAATATCTGCAGATGGCAGTATGCACTAAATGTGCTATGCAACCCTGGTGTAGAATGGTTGCATTTTGCAAATGATTAACATCACCAAATGCAGAAGTATATAGAAAATGCAATGGTTGTTGTGGTTTACTCCTTTGTATCCCCCAATCCCATCTTACACTCATATTCTGAGCAATCATGCTTCTTAAGTGATTGTTCACCTAATCCTGTCCAAGTGCTGCTAAACATCATCTCTGGTCATACCTAAAAATTGACTGTGCTGGCTGGGGCATAGGAGTGGAGGCCTGGATTGCCCTACTTGTGAGCAAGTGAGATGACCCAGTTGTTTATGCATCAGAGCATGGGCATTTCARGCTTATACGTTATGACAGAAGGACAATAGGAAGGAATGCAGCTCACTTGTTCTTCCATTCCATTCTCTGGCTTTGGCCTGATCTATACAAACAACAGGTAATATGGAACAACCACTTGAAACGTAACCCCCCCCCCCCCGAAATATATTTAAACCCTCTAGCATGAAGAGTACAAGGGTAGTATTTTCCCTAACTTGAAAATTATTACTTTTTTCATGTCAGGAGCAACTTGAGAAGCAGCAAGTTGCTTCTGGTATAAGAGAATTGGCTGTCTGCAAAGACATTGCCCAMGGGACGCCTGGATGATTGATGTTCTYCCATCCTTCCATCCTTCTTCTTCTTCTTCTTCTTCTTCTTCTTCTTCTTCTTCTTCTTCTTCTTCTTCTTCTATTTTGATACATCCCAACAATCAACAAAATTTTTGCCATACAGGACTTATTTCTACCATCCTTGCAGGAGGCTTCTCTCATGTCTCCGCATGGGGAGCTGGAGCTAACAGAGGGAGCTCATCCAAGCTCTCCCCAGATTTGAACCTCCGACCTTCAGTCCTGCCGGCACAAGGATTTAACACATTAGGGCTCCTAATTATTACTTTGAAGATATAATTGGCTCTCTTTTTAAAACAATCACGTGAGTGCATGCAAATCCACCACCACTACTACTATAACCATCTGCAGATTCAGGGGTACAGGTTCAGACTCTTCATTCTTTTGCAAGCCAATGTGCTGAGCCCCCCTCTGTGCCAGATTAGAGTACCGCCAGGTAAGGTGCTTATCTCTTCCTTGCACTTGTTTCTGCAGGAGCACTCAATTAGTTTTTCTCCAAAGTGCCCACATCACAGAGACTCCCAACTTCTGTGTTGTTTCTGAAGTCCTGCTGGGTGCCAGCTGGCCTGTCCCTATGTTTCATTGGCAAAGCCTCACTACCACCCTGCAAACTCACACATATACACACAGCCAATGAGAGCAGGGAGGGGGAGAGAGGGAGAGCAGGCAGCGGGATTTTGTCATGCTTCAGCAAACTGGATCAGGATTAAAGGATGGCCCAAATGCACGCCAGTGTTTAATACACAAGAGCAGGATATGATACATGGCTTGCCAGGGCTGGAGGGAAGCTTGTGTGTGGAGCCAAGAAATGAGTTTTAATCATTGGTGAAGGCATTGTGTATATGTGTAATGCAACCTCAGAGAGGAAAAGAAAAAAAATCTTGGCCAAGAATTCCCAAACACTATGATTAGAAGAAAAAACAAAATATGTATTATATTTTCATGGAGTGTATGGAACAGATGTAAACTTTCTCCCCTACCCCCTTGTTGGAACGAAGGCCTGTTGCCAAATTCTTTGAAGCAAGAGCTAGTTGGCTCAGTCCTTGCAAACATGCGGTTTGATCCACCTGCTTGCGTCAGCTGGAACTATTTGGCTCTACTAACTACTGATCTCATCACAGCCTCATGTTGTTCTCTGTACGATATATGCCTTACCTCTGGGGTATGATGCATGGGTGGTGATCTTGGCTTGCACTCTCATAGAATCAACGAATCTTAGCCATGTAGGAGATCATCTAGTCCAACCCCCTGCCTTGCAGGAATGCACAACTAAAACACTCATGAAAGTTGACCACCCAACCCTGTTTAAAGCCCCTCCTGCTGATAAAATTGAGTCAAAAATGTAGTTTGTTTGAATTCTTGTTGTGATTCATTTTGGATTCAATTCAGGAGAAAGACAGGATATCATACAAACAAAGTGCTGCAGCATTAGTACATTTAGGGGGTTTGTTGGTTGTCAAATTTTCTGAAACTGATTGTGTGCATGAGGAGTCATATTTTTTGGAAGGGTGCAGCCCATATTGGCTGGCCTCCTGTTTGTGACTTACGTATGTGCAGGACAAAATATATAACATAGATGATAGACATATTCTGCTGACAGCTGTGGAAGTGCACATATTAACACAGTGCACCATTGTGTATGGGGCTTCTACACTCCTCGAGAGATACAGGGTGTTGTATTCTTAGACAGACCATAAGTTCCTAAACTCATGTTATGCTAAATAATGCTTACTAGACACTATGTTGCTATTAGACTCTAACAGAGTTCTCCCATGGAAATAAAGCATTAACAAATCCTCTCCCCACAGTTTATTTATTTATTTATTTATTTATTATTTAAACTTATATGCCGCCACTCCCCTTGGGCTTGGAGTGGCTTACAAGAATAGCTAAAATCTAACAAAATTTGAAAGCAATTTAAAACAATTTAAAAACACTATTGCTGAGAGCCAGCATGGTATAGTGGTTTGAGCAATGAACTACACTTCTGGGGAACAGAGTTTGAGTCTCCACTCAGCCATGAACTGGGTGAAGTCACACATTCTCACACCCAGAAAACCCTGTGATAAGTTCACCTTAAGGTAGCCATAAGCCTAAAATGACTTGAAGGTACACAACAACAAAACCCCATACTCTCAGCCTCACTAAACCCATGTTAAGCTTGCCTTGAGGTAATCATAAATCAGAAATTACGTGAGCGCACATAGCAACAAAGCTGTTGAGATACCAACTGTCAACTATGCACCTCTTTATTGAATTGCCTGGTAGAATGTGTGGCCCTACACTGCTTATTTTCAATAACAAACTCTGTAGCATCTTATTCTTCCTGACAATTCCTTCATTTCCCACAGTGAGTCCTTGCAAAGATGTCCTTACAAGTTATTGGCGCTAGATGTCAGTGCCTCTTCAGGAGCAGGATGAAAGCAATTCCCTTTCCTGAGAGCGTTGTGAATGTTTCAGTAGAAAACCCGAAACCACATTGCATTTACCCTTCACCTGGTTTCGCATTTCCTCATGGAGTGGAAAATTAATTGGTTAGGCTCAGCACCATGTTGCTCCCAGACCTTCTGGGTGAAACAGAAGCAAATGTTGTTGAGTGCGGTTAGAAGCAGTCTGAAGCTTGCATTTTAAAGGAATAGTATTTAAGACTCAAACAAGTCTAGTGTCTGAATTATGTTACAAGATGGAATACCGGCCTTTCAACCCATGTGTCAGAAGTTCTGAGAAAGAAGAATAATAATACCTGTATCCATATCACTATCTCCTCGTTTCTGCAGATTAATACTTTTTATTGATGGAAAATGTGATATGGAACACACAAAGGTTGAAACATTGTTAAGCTACCTCAACAACCCTCATCACATTTCTGAAATGTCAGGCAGAAAAGAGATGTAAATGAGCTGCTTCTCTCACAACTTTTGCACTGCGCTTCTGTTGTTTTTATGTGACTTCTAGCCAATTCAGCAATGTAGTTATAGGGTGAAGAAATTACCTTCAAAACATTTGAGGCCTTACTATGAACCATTTGAGTCTCTCAACCAAACATTATTTCTGCCCCCTCGATGACATTTTCATTGTTGCTAAATTTTTAGTATTGCACTAACTTAAACTTCAGTGGAGCATTTAAAAAATACAGTTTAGACATTCTTAGAAAAGAGGCAAGCAACACAATGTGAACATAGCAAATATATGCTGTATATATGCTATATATACTTGTGTATGAGTTGACAATTTTTTGACAAAAACTCAACCCAGAAATCCTGTGTCAACTTTTACATGGGTCAGTGCTGGAACAAAGGCAGTGAGAAGTGGCAGAGTTGAGAAGCTCTTACCCCATTCCCACTCCCTTTCCCAAACCAGAGAAAAGCAATTCTTCCTCACAATTTTTCCAGCTTGAGTGGCATTGAGCAGCAACATGGAGGGGCAGGTGGAGGAGACAGCTAAAGGATGCTGTGTGCTCACCATTATGGGTGTTTGAAGTGGAGCAGAACGATGCAGGTATTTTTAATAATGGGATTGCAGTGGCCATTTTTAATAGAGTGGCCATTTTTAATAGAGAAAGAGCAGCTTTTACAGTAAGCCACTTCAAAAATGTCCACCACAGTATCTCTACAGAGAGGTTTATGCAGTAAGTCCTTGTTAAAAATGGCTGCTGCCATTCTACTCCACCTCAAGGGCTCAAAGTAGTAAAGGCACCTCATTTCCTCAGGCCAGGAAGCATGCAAAAGTTTTAAAAGTAATTGAACCATTATACAATTTGAAATCAGTGAAACTCATTATACCGGACCCAATTCTAAAAGACCTGTTGCAATAAAAAGATTTCTACGTGCTTGTAAAAAGATAGGAGGGTGCCATTCTATCCTCTCTGGGAAGGAAGTTCCACAGCTTGGAAACAACCACTTGAAGGCCTTCCCCTGTGTTCCCACTAAATTTAACAGTAGGGTGGCAGGACAGAGAGCAGGCCCTCCTCAGATCTCCAAATGTGGACTGATTAGTATGGAGAATGTCTTCCTTCAAATAACCTGGACATGAAATTTATAAGGCTTTAAAAGACATCATGGGCACTCACAATGACCAGAATTCACCTAGGAACTTGCGTCTTGTTAAGTAGACTAATATATACAGGAAACGGAATTGAGCTATTTTGCAGTTCCCATATTCAAGGGTTCCATTGCTATGTAGGGAGTCAACAAAGTTACCATTGCACAACAGAACCAGTGCGTAATGGGGCCCATATACATAGGGACACCAACAAAGGTGTACCAATGTGCATTGACATTTTTGATGTGCATTGGGAAACTCTTGCTGGTGTTCTGTTACACATCTTTACAATTCACTGACATAGCCTCTTAGTGCCTCATCTATAGACTTAAGTAATTTCAAAGTTACATTCAAGAGATAATTCTGAAGAAGAAGAAGAAGAAGAAGAAGAAGAAGAAGAAGAGGAGGAGGAGGAGGAGGAGCAACAGCAACAACAGCAACAACAACAGCTCCTACTACCTTTGGACCACAGAGGACATTTATCTGTTTTTATGGCTCATATCCTACCTTTCTCCAAGAAGTGGATAGTTGTTTTGGTTTAACAGTTCTGGGAAAGCTAATGCAAATGTGAGAATTAATGAGGATCAGGATTTAGAAAAATGTTTTGTTCAGAGTCTACAGCCCCCCAAATACCCACCCCCCTCCAGCCATTGCATCCCCCAGTCCTGCTGGTTGGGGGATTCAGAGAGCTATAGTCCAGGCAAGTAACTTGTTTAAACTCTGATCCAGATGAAGACAAGCACTCTTAAAACACCAAAGGACAGAAAACAGATGTTCTGGCTTTGGGTGACTAAGTCCAGGAAGCTGAGTTTTCTCTTGGACATGATATACTACCTTTTTCTGCTATTCTTCTCTTTTCGCAGGAACAGTTCATTTTTATTCACCAGTGTGTGCAATTAATGTGGTTAAAGAAGAAGAAGCAGTTCTGCATCAGCGACGTCATATACGAGAATGTCAGCAAGTCGTAATTCCAAGTCATGGGTGGTAAGTTAGAAAAGTCTCCCTTGGCCAGTGTGCAGCAGTTTGTCAAAGCACATGCTCGTAGAGGAGCAGGCTGCTGCCATAAATATTAATGCTGAGGTTTTTATTGATTGTAATGTGTTTCCTAGCCAGGTATTCTGAGCCAGCTAGCACGTGAAAGCAGGAATCTGGCTCTTGCCCAGGTTGCAGGGGTGAGCAACTTCAGTGACTCCTGGGGCTAGTTTTCTCCCCATGGAATTTTACAAAGGTTGTGCAGACTCATCCAAAATGCTCCCTCTGCCAAATCCTGAGCAAACCAAACAACAAATGGTCAGATGTTTTGATAACAAACAATGTAGGGGACCTTGTGATTTGAAAATTGAAATTCAGTTTCTGAAGGTTTTCAGAATAGGAAGTTTGCCTTTTTTTTTTTTGCCAGAAAAAGGTGGAGCAGATAGCCAAAGTCCACCAAGACTTTCATAAGCTGCTACATTGCTACTTATCCCACTGTCTTCTTGCTACATGGATCTACCTGTATTGAGAAAATCGGGAGGGGGGGGGGGGCTCAGGGTTGTTGACTGGGAGCCATAGTACAGCTTTCTTGCCATTGGCTATATGAGAAGAGATTGCAAAGTTGGATCTTGATCCTACCCTCCTGCATTTCCACTTCCCATGTGTAGAAGTGGTACTTTTCCATATGTATGTAGGTAGGGCCAGTTAATTTAACCCTTTAAGTTCAGTATCCTCCAGATATTTTGGACAAAGCTCAAGAAAGTTGCCTCATTTGAACTAATATCCCCTTGTTGGGTGAGGATTCTGGGAGGAGGAGTCTGAAAAAGTGACTTTCCCACTCCCCATTGTCCAATTGTGTAGGAAATGCTCTTTCCTGTGCCAAAAGTGCTGTTTTCAGTTTTCCGTTTAAGGGATATTCAATCTGTACTAGTTTTCTTTCTCCTTTACAGACTAGAAAATGAAATGTCTCAATTTTCCTCTGCTTCAGATTTTAATACTTTCTTCTCTCTCCCACCCATTTTGTTTTGTCCATTCCCTTCGGGTTTGCCACGGGTGACAGCAGATCTGCAGAACACGGACAAATGCAGAAAGGTGACATTTTACATCCAGAAGCTCTGGGAAGACACATAGCCTTAAGGAACCTGCAGTGTCTTGTTTGGACTCTTTAATTTTCTGGACTTTTGATTTTTTTAAAGTTAGTAACACTGGACCAAATTCAACACAGCAACATTAACATGGAACCGTGTCATAATGTGCATAACCGTACAGCACTTGGGAAAGGTTTTTTCTGTTGTTCTCCAGTTCTGAATGCTTTATTATTATTATTTTTAATATGCAGGTTGGGCTTAAAGGTTACAGAATGTGCAATATCTGAACAACAATAAACTTTATCCATGTACCTCCAGTGAGGTGTGTGTAAATCAAAAGCAGGCAGTGGTAGCATTGGATAATAATACCTCATTTGCATCCGGTGGAGGATGAGAAGAGTCCCTAGGTTGGGCAGAGAGGATGAGCAATGGTGATATTACCATCTTACTGCCATTTAATACTAAGAGGCATGGGATATCAATGGGATCAGGATTCTCCAAAATAAACTGGCTCAGAGCTAAAGAGAAAATTGTTGACTCCTGGCTTCAGATTCAGCATTTGAAGGTTTTGACCACAACAGTATCCTGGAAATCTTTGGAAATCTTCCATTGAGGATCATACAACTCATGAAGTTGAAACCTTCAGCACAGAGATGTCCTATTGACTGGGTGAAGGAAAAAAATGAATACACACCTGGATTTGGAGTGAAAGTACAGATGGACACAATGTGCTGTTGAATAAGACCATTTCTGCAATGAGTATCATCACTGTACTGATTGTGTTGTCTGAACCAATTTTAGCTGCTGTCTATACTTCTATACTTTCCCCCATTTGTTTTATGTTTTTGTTTTCTTTAATGTATTTATCCTGTGGTTGTTTTATTTCAGGGGGATGGGGACAAAGTTGGTCAATGTTTTGTAGAGAGAAGAGGAGAAGCATCCCAGCTTCATGCTATTGAGTCTGAAAAAAAATGTAAGATCTCAGATTAGGAATTCCTTTAAGAATGCTATAAGAGGATTCAAATGACATGTTTGACCAGCGATGTGGATTCGTTGTCATTGTCAATTCACTGCCAAGTGTTTGTTTCTGGAAAAAAATTGTGTAACTTACAATGCTGCTTTTTTAATTTAGTTTCTGTATCTGGTTTCTATAGGAATTAGACATACTCTTAGATGGTGACACTTGAATGCTGTCAATGCAGAAATGTTGGCATTTTGGGAGTCCCTCTGTCCTCAGTTTGATTTCCTCCAATTTCACTGGAAATTTTCAAAGGAAGTGGAAATCACCAGACAAAAAGCAAGATGGAGCAAGCTGAAGAGAAAGCAAGAACACTGGATCTCTGCTCAATAGGAAAAAGTCCATGGTGTTAGCTATTCTGTGAGAGTGGCAATGTGGTCTAGTGCATAGACTTTTGGACCAATTCTGGGTTTAGATGCCCACTGAGCCACAATGCTTCTTGGTGAGTCTTTATTTCAGGCCAGATAACCTGACAGGATTGTTGTGAGGATAAAAGGTAGACAGCCCCATGAACCAGCCTATGTTCGGTTCAGAGGGAAATGCTATGAATCAATGTGTAATGGAATGAATTATCTGGAGCCTTCCATACTAAAGCCTGTCCTAGCTGGGAAGGATCAATCTGGAAATTCTAGAAAGTTTTTCATCCAATGGCCAGGATCTCACACCACAGCAAAATACCATAGATCTCCATATGCAGCCTTACACACTAATTGTATCATACAAACCTTTTGTGTTCAGTGGCAACATTGCACAAATGTACCAAAAGAGCACACATTCACTGAATACACAGGAAAATATACATTCATAATGGCACCACATGTGCAAGTCTGCTTTTGTGACTGAACTGAATGTGGATGTTCAGCATCAGACTCAAATGTCCATTTTTCTGATAGAACTTCTGCATGAGGAAGACACAAACACCTTTCAGGATCAGAGATGAAATTCTAGATTTGGAGTGGGATTTAAGGCTGACATTTAACACCTGCCGTTTGTGCACTTTTTGGTATTATATTAAGACAGTGCAAAAAGAAATTCCTCCCTTACACTACTCAGCTGGATTTGGAAGGAAAGGGGCAAATGTATCAAGCATCTTTCAGGGAGTAGTCAAGAGCAGCCCAGGTGCCAACTGCCTGTGGCCTCCAAGACCTCACCCCAGAAAAAGGTGCTGTTGAAATTCATTTTTGCCAATGCAAAAATCCTTAAAATAAGTACAAGAGGGATTTGTTTTAAATAGCTCTTTATTGCTTTGAAATTTCCCATCCCTGAATCAGATGGTGGCATTTCAGTCATTATCCAGGCATCCAAACCTTGGGTCGGGTTGCTTGAGAGCGAGAGCAACAGAGAAGGGGCAGTTTGTTGATCATGAAGAGGACTCTTTGTATTAAAATGTTTTTATTGTATTTTCCATTCCACTAACAATGTGAAGAAATGATTGCAGGACTTTGTGAGTCCTTGTGTGAACATAACTTTGGGCTCATAAGGACCTTGACTTGGGTGGACTGAGGAGGGACCATTTATTTGGCTGCCTTAGGAGGCATGATAGATCCTGGTAGGTCTAAGGAGAGTCTGGTGAATCCACCATGGAGTTCAGCCTGAATTGTAAAGGAGTTATCGCTAAGCTTACTTAATGTATGAGCAGGAAGCAGGAATTTTCATGGTGAGATTATTCATACCACATTGTTTTCCATGGGATGGACATTCAAAATGTATGTTCATTGCAGCACAATTGAATCTGGAATAACTAGCAGCATTAAGTAGGGAGATGTAGCTTGCTTAACTTAATTAGGAGGCTTTAGCTGACATCCTGTTAATCAAATCTAGAGTAAACATGTTCAATCAATTGTTGAATGGTGACTCAACATGTAGGTAAATTCCATTGAGTCAATTGTCCTACTTCAGTCAGGACTAAAAGTAGTATTAAGGTTTTAAAGTGCACTTCCTGTGTGTATTTACAAAGACATCAATCCCTCTTAATAGATTATAAACAGGCATAGCACAGCATTTGACCATCAGGATACTAGATTTTATTTGTTTATAGAATGATGTCCTCTTCCTACATGGGGAAAAGGGTGTGTGTCTTTTTTTGCAGATGTATACAACAGTATAATTTTCTCCCTTAGACCAACAAGCCTCTAACATGCCTCTAAGTAAACCAAAATGAACTGTTGCGACCAATTGCCAACAAAATAAATGCTGAGTTTATTGTGGAAAGGATGTGTTTTCAGGCTTCAAAGGAAGATTGATGGAAAACTCAGGCTATTAGATGAGCCACAAATATATGTGAATATAATATTTTGCAGCCAATGATATATGTGCACCTGACATGAATTAAGATGCCATGTTGTCTTTGCCAATTATTTGTGTGCCATGATGTAGGATGGTGATTCACGTGTGCTTTTCTGAGCCATGCACCTCCTTGCACTATACTGCTACTTGGTTTCATATTTAGCCTCTTAGGCATGTGTCATGCTAAAAGAAAACAATGCAACCAAGTTCCCATCAGAATAACAATCCATCATTTTGAATTCAGGGATTTGCTCATGCTTTGTTGCAGTCAAGAAATGCTTTCAAAAAGAGAATCCTTATCTGAACTGCAGTGTTTTTTTCTCTTCCTCCTCTCTTCACAAATATACTTACACAGAAGCCTGATAGAAAAACTAGCCCTAAGGAAAGCCGAGGGGAACAATGGTTCAGACGCTTAGCTCTACTCAAGGCACCAACCATGTTCTTTAATGTCAAATATCTTTGCTGTTTAATGGACCAAACCCAAAGACCATTCATTGGTTTGAGCTGTACCAGATGGCTGTATAAACACTATTGGTTTGCTTTGTTTTGCAATTTTTGAAAAGGTGGAAATGGGGGGAAACACCAACAATTGTGTTGATTTTGTTCTGTTGGAGCTGTTCTGAGTTTTGCAACAATGTGTAGTAATCTGTGTTAGGCGTAGCTTATTTGAGGTTGTAGAGTATAGAATCTGAATTTGGGGGACCAGAGAGCTGTATGAACATGAACAGCAAAAATAACACTGATCAAAGCAAAACGTCTGCTGGATATTTCATTTCTGGGGGAAGAGTCATTGTATAGTTGCTCACAAGGTTGTGTGTGTTTGTGTGCCTTCAAATCACCTGTTGACTTATGGTGACTCCATGAATGCCATACCTTATCTTAGGCAAGGAATAGTCAGGGAGAGCTTGTCATTTCCTTACTCTGAAATATAGCTACAGTATGATGTATTCTTGGATGGTCTCCCATCCAAGTATATGTTGTTGAATATCAAGAAGATCAAATTGACACCTTCCTATCTTAGTAGGGTACCAACATTTTTTGTTCTTTATAGTTTTCAGAAACTCAGACAAAATGCTGGAATGTAAATTTTGGAGAGGGACAGGAAGATGAGTAAGTGGAAGTTTTGAACTGCAGAAAACCCCTCTATCTCACCCTCTACATAATTGCACTACATCAGCACTTGCAATTTGGCAGATGCTTAATTGCCAGAATATTTAGCTTGTTGATTAATTCAGGTCTCCACTGAATACTCATCACAGAAACTTCCTTTGCCAGAGATTAAGAATTCATTCTCCAAGAGATAATCCAAACCTTGAAGGAGATCAATACATGGCAATGGAAGATTATATCTCAGAGTTTTATCTCAAAAGTTCCTTGTGGATGGAAAACTTACATGCAAGGCAAAAGAGATTAGAATAACCTGTAACATGCTTGCATTTGAACCCTGAAATGGTATAGTTATAATGGACTTACTTAAAATGTCTTGACAGAATAGGCCAAATGCTTAATTTAGTTAAAAACTGCGAAAGCTGTTCTGCATGGCCTATCCACGCTTCATGACAAGTAGGCAAAATTGGAAAAGTATTTGCTGTGTCACCAGAGCTAAATGCAAAATGATTACAGCAGTCTTCTGGGAGTCTCCATGCTAATGTGAGTCATGTCTGCCTATGGGAACAGCATTCATGATCAGATCTTTTCTGTGTATATACGCCCCCCCCCCCCCCAATCCATCATTTTCACACTACTTACATTGGACATTGTTTGTGGCTTCAAAGTCCCATCTCTGTTGAGAGAAATCATTGTGAAGCACTTAGTAATCCATACTTTCTCAAACTGTGCTCCTCCAGATGTTTTAGACTTTAGCTCCCACAATTTCTCACAGCTGGTAAGCTGGCTGGGATTTATGGGAGCCAAAGTCCAAAACACCTGGTGGAGAACAGTTTGACAAACGTTGCTCTAAGCAATTGGTGCAGTCAGCAAACTTTGCTGCCATGCAACTTATCCTGAAGTCCTTGTTGGCAATGAACAAGTTAAAAAGATATTGTAAGAGGCCTCCCTTGTTCTTGTACCAGTTCCAATCCACAAGTGAAGAACTTGCACCATTTCCAGCCTTTAGTAAAGAACTTTGTCAAAAGGCTTTTGAAATATTTTGTTACTGATACTTTCAAGAAGCAGGACTTACCTTTGCCAAAGTCACATTGATATCTTTTCAGTAGAGCTTGCCTTGCCATATCAAAGTAAGTATAGTGTAGCCCACAAAGTGCATGCAATCTCTGGCTCCCACTTTTCTGGCACCCTAAAACCCCTGATCAGTCTTCCAACTCCCAAAGATCAGTGCAATTTTTGAGATTTTTGCTCTCAAGCCATACAAAAAGCCTCTAAAACATATGAAAGCATCCTAAATACCCCACAAGAATCTTCTATTACCTACAAATACCTTTGTTTTCCTCTGCCTCCTCTTTAAAAATGGCAACAGGACTACATGCTGTGAGGCATGTACTTTATTGTTGGGGGGGGGGGGATTGCTGTATGTGTCTGAAGAACAGACTTGTTCCTGACTTGAGTTTGGTTGCCATCCTCTGTTCTATATGGTTCACATCTTAACTGATGAATTCCACCTGTTTACTTAGAACACACATCAAGGTAAGTAGCCTGCAATTTCCTGGATCCCCCCTTTAAAAAAAACATGTTACATTGGCTCAATCTTCTAGTATAGATGGTGACCTTAGATTCATGTGTTTTGGGTTGTTGTTGTTTTTTTTAATAAGAGCCATCATTTCAAATGTGAGTTCATTAAGAGCTCTGGTATTTGGTCATCTACCACAGGGACTGATGATTTACATGTTTGGAACATAGAGTTGGAAGAGACTCCCAAGGGTCATCTAGTTCAACCAAACAATCAAACAATTCCCATAAATAGCTATTCAGCCTCTATTTAAAAATTTCCAAAGAAGGAGACTCTACTGCACTCTGAAGCAATGTATTCCATTGTTGAATAGCTCTTGCCATCAAGAGGCTTTTTCAAATGTTAAAGTGGAATCTCTTTTCCTGTAGTTTGAATCCATTTCTCTTAGTCTTGCTTCCTCCACAATATGTCCTCCTCTCCCATATTTAAACAAGGCTATCATGCCTGCTCTTAACCTTCTCCAGGCTAAATATACCCTGCTTCTTAAGCTCAAAGGGCTTGGCTTTCAAATCTTTCACCATATTGGTGGCCCTTCTCCAGATATGTTCCAGATTGTCAACATATGTAGACCTAGAACTTCTCTTCATGACAGCAGCCTGACTCCCCTTGCTGAACATGATGGTTGAAGTACCTACATTTTCCAAGAAAGACAGAAACAAATAATTTACCAACTGTGCAATCCTTTTGAGACAAAATAAAACCCAACACTCCTATTGTGATTCTCCCTGCATTTATCATGACAAATAAAACAAGCATGTTATATACATCAAATAGTGTTTATTGCAGACTATCGGCCGAGTTGTGTGAAAAAAGGCACCATGAAAATTAATAAAACTAGATGATTAATTTATCCTAAATGACATGATGGGATTTTGATGCCTTTATATACAAATGACAGAGTAGAACATTTCGTGTGGAGAAAATAAGAAATCATCATGAATCCAAAAGAAGAATATGCTTATTGGGTTATTTTTTTCTATGCTTGGCTTGGCCATAGTTTAAAAGATTTCAGGTTGAAATTATCACTCCATTTTCTCAAATATTTTTGAAACACTTATAACACCATTCCTGTTTAAACCTGCAAAAATCGGGCTATCCTTTCCTTTTGACCAGTGAAGTTAAAGCAGAAAACCAACAGAAAACAAAGACAATACTCGTAAGAAATAATACTGTGAATAACCACAGGGATATCCCCAAAAGAAGGTCCAATTGCTCCTTCTTTTTAAAAACTGACATTTGTGCTATTGCTTCCATGTTTGGTGGCTTTATTGATTTGTGCTTATTCTCAGTGGAACAGCAATAAAATTGGAATTCAGAATAAATTATTTTGCTATCTACATTGCCACTAAGAAATCATTTCACGATGCTGTCCAAAGAAATTAGTCTGTGCTTATGTTAAGAGCAGGACTGTGGATGATCCCAAAACCACAAAGCCTCTTGGCAATCAGGAACTTTTAAATAACTCTGGAAAGCATAAGGAAGCTCTGGGGCATCCCATGATTTTTTTAACGTGGGAGAAGGCCACGTTAAGGTTAATGGACTCTGTGCATCATGTGGAGGCTTTGGAGTCCATTCACTCCCAAGTCAATTGATTTGACCCAAGTAGATGGGCCCTAAGTGCTGAAAATGGGAGGAAGAGGAGCTCTTGACTGGCCCCTCCATGTAAAGCGGGATGGTGAACTAGCTTCAGGTTTCAGTTTGAAGAGGAAAGGAGGTTTCCTTAGCACTGAGCCATCTCACTCAAATTAGTTCATTGCTTTGGATAGCTCATATCAAGTTCTCACACAAAGCCAGAGTGAATTCACTGCCCCATTCATATGGGGATACTGGAAAGAGGCCGTCACTATGGACTACGCTGATGGAAGGAATGTGAGGAGCTGTAGTCACAGTGAACCCCTTTGGATTCCCAAAGGCAGAGTGTTAAGAATATGGTCAATTCCCCTTTCAATCAATGGGACTACTTTGGCTAGATCCCACATGCCCTTTATGTTCACAACCAGTCCAAAGACTTCAGCATGTTTTTAACCGGCCAGTTCAGTGTCTGAATGGCTCAAAAGCAGTAGTGGGATTTCTCTTTCCCACTGAAAAGAAAAAAAATTATCATGAAATGATTGTTTTCACACACCAGCCTCAGGAGGACTGGTTCAGGACTCCTGGATAATTCTGCCTTAAATATACTTTTAAATTAAGGGGGGGAATGGGGTAGCAGTAGCCCTGCCTCACCCTCCCTTCCTTTTACATCCCAACTGCATGCTTTCTTTATGGCATCAATTTGTATCTACATAAATAACAGCAACCAGTCAGACATTTCCCTTTCATGGCTTCCTAAAACATAGTGCGATGGAACAATGCCAAGAACGATGGGCTCACTCTCTCACACACACTCTTAAAACAATAACAAAACATAGAAAAGACATTTAATGACCACTGCTCTCATCAAAGGACTCTACTCCTGAGTCTGTTGCGGCTGCGCTGAGTTTCTCTTGCCGTCTCCTCATGATCTCTTGCAATTCAGAACTTCCACTGATAGCCTGTGAAATCAGAAAAAGGACAGGAGTGTGATCCAATGCGGTCTTCTTTAGTAGATGTTTTATGTCCAAATGTAAAATTATTTCATACACAAAATACTCAATTCTATATCCAAGATCCTGAATGGCACAATGTAGTGTGACCCTTCTGCAAAAAGAACAGTGCTGTATCTATCCCCTCAGACTCTCTTTCCCTCTGACTCATTGTTTAACCATGGCAGGCCTCCTCCCACATGGCCATTCAATGACTGATGGAGAACAGTCAGGGAAAACATAGAAGCATTTTGCTATCTTTCCAAAGCTAGCAGTAGATTGATCACATAGGCAGCTGAGATCCCCGAGAGTCCCCTGGAATTGTTGGGGCATTTCACCACCAATCTTCATCTGGGTTGTTGTAGGTTTTTTCGGGCTATATGGCCATGGTCTAGAGGCATTCTCTCCTGATGTTACACCTGCATCTATGGCAAGCATCCTCAGAGGTAGTGAGGTCTGTTGGAACTAGGAAAAGGGGTTTATATATCTGTGGAATGACTAAGGTGAGACAAAGGACTCTTGTCTGCTGGAGCTAGGTGTGAATGTTTCAACTGACCACCTTGATTAGCATATAATGACTTGACAGTGCCTAGAGCAAACTTTTGTTGAGAGGCGATTAGATGTCCTTGTTTGTTTCCTCTCTGTTGTTGTGCTGTTGTAATCTTCATCTGACTAAAAGAAGATAGCATGATGCTTCTCTGATAAGGTCCAACTTGATATCCACTGGGCACAGAATGCTAATAGGTATAAGTTGCAATGGCCAAGCAAAGAGTTGGTGGGGTTTTGCTCATTGTAGAAGGTAGAAGAGAACACCAACCTCCACAATGACCCCGCCCCTCCAAAAAGATATATGCAGGAATAAATGGATTTAACACCTATGTATGTCACTAATAGAATTCTTGCCAATGTTTGAGAAGTAATGGTCAAGCTTCTTTGAATAAATCTTGCCAAGAAAACCCTATGAGAAGAATGCTCCAAGTCATAGTTGACTTGGAAGCATATAGCACAAGGGCAACACAAGCTTTGATCAGAACATGGGCCCTTCTTCCTTCCTTCCAATATGCTTGTAAGAAGTTTGAGAAGCTTTCATTTCTGTTTTGGATTGCCTTCATCTTGTCATGTATCTGACACTGGGCAAAATACTAAAGCAGAAATGGGCAACTGCGGAAGGCTACTAGAGAGCCACATTAGAACTTTGGATTGCATTAGACCAGAAGTCTGAGGTTTGGCTAGACCTGTTCTTGTAATACTAAACTATGGTTTAGAATTACATCTAAATACAGATAGTAAAGCAGATAGTTTCAAGAATGCACCCCACTTGCACTGCATTATGCTTTGGGATAGCAGTTTCACTAAAACCCATGTAATACATAAATGGAAAGTTACTTTTAAAATGTAATTAATTCCCATTATTTACATTTATCTTTGAAAAACAACCCATAACCATTATAGGTTGCAATGTTGAAAAAGTAACTGAATGACTTGTTGCCGTCCTTGTTATCTCTGATACTATTTTACCTTTTTTTGAGTGGAACAAACTTTACAATTAATACATGAATGGCATAAAACCTGAATAATTCATTGTAAAATGCCTCTAAAAAGACATTAAAAGTGAATTTTGAGAGTAACTAGAAACAGTTGCTTTGAGTTGAAGTAAAGTAATAGCGGTAGTTCTCATTACATGACTGAGTATGTAACTTCATTTTGCTCTAATACAAAAAGTAGGATGGTAGATCTAGCTCTGATACAAAAAGTGACTAGATGTACCTGTAGATGATACTTCTAACTCATTACGTGCAAAATCTTCTATCCTTGGTGGAAAGTGCAACAACCAGTTTCTACAGATAAAGCTGGTGGATTGCATTAAGAGGGAAGGAAGGGTCAGTTCATACCTCCAGTGCAGCTTTCTGAACAGTAATTTGGCTGTAGACCCGGGCTCCTTCAGGGCACACTGATTTTAACTCATCTTTGTTGAGAGAGAACAGCTGAGCACCAGTCAAAACTCCAAGGCTGTTGACAGTCCTGTATGATTGGCATCAATATATGAACAACAGCATTTTTACAAAAATATCTTTCAAAAATAAAAAAAATGTGCTAACTGGTGAAGTGGGGCAGGTGGTATAGCATGACATGATGGATAGGCCAGGAAATGAACCATATTTCTTCCCCAGGCCTTTTGTCCAATGACACATACCTTATCCTACTTATTACCACTGAGCATTTAGCCTGAGTACTCTTTAAAACAAGAGTCTGCACAGGAAGGACCCACTTCTGACAGCATTTCTACCACCCACTGCATTAAGGAGGCATGGAAAGCAGAAGTCAAGTAAGCCTCCCACTCAACATTCTCATAAAAGACCTTGGTTTCCGAGCTGAGGGTTCTGCAGCTTGGCCTTGGAGATCTGTCATTCCCACCATTTTGTGTGAAATCTTAAGGCAAAAGTCTTGTGGACTCACACTGGGTTGAATCCTTTGGCCTGTAGCCACATTTTCACATCTTCTGGTGAGGATTCATAGCTGACGTTGACTACTGGGGCATTGGAGCGTGGCACGTGGAATTTCTTTTGGGCAGCACTCCGTCCTATGGTGAGCCGGTGAATGAGTTCATCCTGGACTTCCTCCATTTGAGATTTCCTTCCTAAGAAAGAAAGAAAAGATGGATTGTTTCTACAAGATTTATGAAACTGTCTGTTGCATTTCCCCCCAAAGAACAGTCTAGTACAGGTAATGCTTTTATTATTCATAACATGCTAATTTCAAGCTCTGGGCTCTAAAGCTAACCAAATTATTTTGGTACCTGAAGCAGAAAATCCAATAAAGCACCTCTCCACCACCTTGATAGTAAATTGAACACTATACTAAAAAAATGGATAATGAAGATTTATCTGCCTTTTTGTGACTATCTGTATTTCTTCCTCTAGGTAATTGCCTCACTCTGCCTAATGATGGGGCTGAACTTCCAACTGAATTCTTTAGTGGCATGAAGTTCAGCACAACAAGAACACACAAAGTCATATATTGACTCAGATCATTAGTTTGTCTAGTTCAGTATTTCCAGTTTGGTCAGTCTTTTCCACCTCACCTAGCAACACTAGGGATTAAGCCTGGCACATGTTGCATACAAAACATACAATCTACCACCACCCTACAGCCTTTTATTGCTCCTCCTGAAAATTGGAAGCCTTGCCTAGTCCCCATAGAATGGGGAAATTTTAAAGCAAGAGTGGAAATTGTGTGGTGCTCCACATGTTGTTGGATTGCAGATCCCCAGGCCTTCTAGCTGGAAGATGGGAATCTAACAACTGCCGGAGGGCTGCAAAATCCCCATCCCTGTTTTAAGCAGACATTTATTTTTTAATTTATTTACCATATTGGTATACTGCCCTTCTCAGCCCGAAGGCGACTCAGGGTAGTTCACAGTTGGCAACATTTGATGCCTCAACAAATAAAACAATCATAAAATACTGTTAAAATATTTAGCATAAAATATAAAAATATTAAAAAACCACACAAAGTCGTAAAAACATTGCCGTAGGCATCTCCTTGTTAAAATCGTTATTCAATTGCATCATCAGATTGTTTCATGATTTTGTATAATTATGTTGGGTTAGCAAAGGCCTGCTCAAAAAGCCAGGTTTTAACCTTTCTTCAAAAAGTCAGGAGGGAGGGGGCCGATCGTATATCCCTGGGAAGGGTGTTCTATAGTCAAGAGGCCACCACTGAGAAGGCCCTGTCTCTCGTCCATGCCAAACGCATCTGTGAGGAAGGCGGGAGTGAGAGCAGGGCCTCCCCAGAAGATCTTAGTGTCCTAGATGATACATAAGGAGAGATGCATTCAGATAGGTAAGCTGGTCTGAAACCGTTCAGAGCTTTATAGGCTAAAGCCAACACTTTGAATTCTGCCCGGAAGCAAACTGGCAGCCAGTGGAACTGGCACAACAGAGGAGTTGTGTGCTCTCTGAGCACCTCTCCTGTTAACAACCTGGCTACCACACGTTGGACCATTTGGAGCTTCCAAACAGTCTTAAAAGGCAATCCCACGTAGAGTGCATTGCAGTAGTCTATACAGGATGTAACTAGAGTGTGGACTACCATGACCAAGTCAGACTTCCCAAGGTACGGGTGCAGCTGGTGCAGAAATTTTAACTGTGCAAATGCTCCCCTGGTCACTGCTAAGACCTGGGGTTTCAGGCTCAGTGATGAATCTGGGATCATACCCAAGCTGCGAACCTGCACCTTCAAGGGGAGTGTAACCCCATCTAGCACAGGCTGTAACCTTATGCCTTGTTCGGCCTTAAGACTGACCAGGAGTACCTCTGTCTTGTCTGGATTTAATTTCAATTTGTTCTCCCTCATCCAGACCGTCACAGTGGCCAAGCACTGGTTCAGGACCTGAGCAGCCTCCTAAGTAGCAGATGGGAAAGAGTGACAAAGTTGGACGTCATCTGCATACAGGTGAAACCACACCCCGAAACTCCGGATGATCTCCCCCAGCGGCTTCATACTTTGTCAACAGATCTCAAGGTGGCTCGGTCTAGGATCGAGAGGACTAGAGATTGGCTCTTTAAAAAAGGGCTGAGTGTCTCTGAATGCCATGTTTCAAAAAAGCAATCATCCTGGGTGACAAATCCAAATGTGTGCCCAGAACACAGTAAAAGTAACCAACATGCGTTTCTTCTCTGAACAAAACAACCATGCAAAAAAGAGACTCACGATCTATAGGGGGTGGCCTTTGTCTCTGTGCATCTCGCCCACCATCACTTGACGTGCTGCTCTGGCGGCTGATGGCTCCAGGTACCTTTGGCACAGGAACGGGGATAGGAGCTGGAATGCTGGGAGGGAGAGGAACTGGAATTGGTGTCTGGGGTGGTGACGGAGCAACAGGCGCAGGGTCAGATTGCTTTGGAATAAAGTCCATCCTTTGTTTCTGCAGACAAGAAAAAAAATCAGGTTTAATTTTAGAAGGAGATTAAAAAATCAAATGTTTAGAGTGAAAAGATTAAACCTCTACAAGAAAATCAGCACAACTCCCAAAAGGCATGGTAGAATAACACACACACTTCTACATATTGCAGCATGAGGAGGAAAAGCAGTGCTAGAATTCACTATCACAGTTACACATGCACACTCTTGAGTTACATGTCCATAAGTATTTATATTCACCTTCCCTAAATATTCACAATAATGTCAATGTGCTGTGCTCTGATTGAAAGGAGAACTGATCCCTTTTGTTGTTCACAGCGGCTGCAGCCCAGTAAAGCAGGACAAGGGTGGTATTGACCAAGAAACAACCATTTAGTATACATACAGTACTAAATAGTTGATCTTGGCCAGAAATAGAAATCCCAACTGTCCAATGATTGCTGTCTTTTGGCTTCTCTTTCATTTTCAGGGAAATAAAATATTAATTTTCCCCCTTCTAGTTCAATGCATCTGAAACAATCAGATGTAGGGAACTGGCATTTTGCCAAAGACTTGGTACCATAATTGTGGCAATTAGCTACAATCATTTCTTCTCTTCCTGGAAACATGCCAGGTACTTGCATTTGAAGAGTTGTGACCAGCACTGATCCATTGATCATCTCACTGAGTAATGCTACACTTGATATTTTTACTTCCCCCCTCCCTGAGTCACCAAGCATGGGCAATGGTCCGGGATTATCTCTGGAAGGCATACGATTGCTGATTCCTTTTCTAGAAATGTGAGGACTGATGAAAACAACGTAGACTGCTGCTATGGATTGATGCTTGGGATATGGTGTTGATCAATATTGGCTAAGACCCTACGAGGATAACATGAGAACTTATGTTTCCCAATTACGCTGCCTTGAGGTCTTAATCAAAAATGACCACTGCCATAGTCCAATTAGCAAACTATACAACATAATTTATATCCCTCAGTTTCCATAGATCTAGAACAGGGATCTTTTGGTGATCCTCTACAACCTGGCCTGGTAATTAGTTAGTTACAATTCTTATTTTTTCACACCCAGCTCTGTTAGATGGATCTGGTAGCTCCAGAATAAAAACATCCAGCAAGTCTGAGGCCTGGTTCCTCACTAGCACCAAATCCGACCAAGTTTTACCTACTGTAGAGATGGGAAAAGATACTGTGAGGTCTAGAACATTCAGATCCACAAGTTGTCATGGGCCATTGCAATGCAAAAAGGTGACCATTCCATGTTATGAACTAGCATGATTTGGTGGCTGGGTACATGTTTGGGATGCTCGATTTCCATCTCCAATTAATCTCAATTTCAAAACAACGTATGAAATGTGAAGTGGTGATAAACACACTTTCTTTGCCCTGAAGGATCACTCCTAGTTAAATTAGTCCACAGTGTGGAACAATAGCCATTTTTGCACTATAACGGACAATACAGGCTTGGGGATTATGAGTGCTGTAGTCCTTTAACTTTTACAACAGTAAATACCTGGCCAAATGAAAGAAGGGAGGCCTCAAGTATATTCAATCTTCTCTCTTTGCATGTCTCTGAATATTTTCTGAATTTTTGAATTTATATTGTGCTCCAAAAGTGAGAAAAGCTCTCACTGTCCTTTCACACCCACCCCCAGAGTTAGCAATTAGCACTATAAATAATTTAATTAGCAATTTTGATTTTAATTAATTTTTAGATCTAGGGGGAAAATCATGTTGTCATGAGTCCAAAAGCCTTAGCATTCTACTGACTATTATGGGATCTTTCAAGTTTACTCTACATTTCCTCTCTCAATCTCGGTAGCCCAATCTGTCTGGCCTAATCTTAGGCAGCTTCGTTATCTTCATCCGCAGCCATAATACCTTAACGGTGAGAACTGGGAAACCAAAATTGTTGAAGGCATTTAGATATGCAAAAGTTTTTATGGACAGTGCCAACAAAAATGTCATTGCACAGCAGTTTTTGAGTGGAACAAACTTTACAATATATACATAAATGGCATGTTATATATGAGAGCATTTACCTCTGAGAGTTCTCCCAGTAATTGCTAGGAAAAAGTAAAGTAAATCAAAGCAAATTTACAAATTAGGTGGGTAAAAAATTTTACAAATTAGGTGGGTAAAAACAACACTGGACCTTCCACCATAAATCGGCAGCCCTTGGCATTCAACAGTTGTTGACAATGGCACTTGCTTGCCATTTTTAATATAACAGCATTTTTGCAATCACTGGTGACCACGAAGACATAGACACGAAGCAGAAGAAACTATGGCTCTGGGTGCAATTAGACATGTTATATTGTATCTTATTATATTAATATGTTATATTGTGTTTTAATACCTAACCAATTACATGAGGCAATAGACCATTAATATAAACTGAGATATGCACAAAAGTATTGGTGAATGCCATTAGGAATACATTTTTTTTAATTCAGTAAGACCCCCCCCCCCCCCAAATCTATAAAGCATACATTTCCAGATGAATGGCAGTTACCAAAAACTGCGGATAATTTGGAACTCCAGTAAAATTCCGGTCCCACCGTCCCCCATAGTTGCACTGAAGGACCTGCAGATTCCTAGACAGGTATCCTCTCAAGGTATTTGTTAGATTTCCCAGCATGGCTCTGTAGTAACTTCTAGGGGAAGCACACCATACAATCATAGAATCAAAGAGTTGGAAGAGACCTCATGGGCCTTCCAGTCCAACCCCCCACCAAGAAGCAGGAATATTGCATTCAAATCACCCCTGACAGATGGCCATCCAGCCTCTGTTTAAAAGCTTCCAAAGAAGGAGCCTCCACCACACACCGGGGCTGAGAGTTCCACTGCTGAACAGCTCTCACAGTCAGGACGTTCTTCCTAATGTTCAGATGGAATCTCCTTTCTTGTAGTTTGTTCCATGTCCTAGTCTCCAGGGAAGCAGGGACCAGCCCACGCCAGAGCTCCCTGTCGGCCGTTACCACACCCAGCTCCCTCAAGGTCAGTCCAGTCACTTCAAGGATGCCATCCATCCATCTTGCCCTTGGTCGGCCCCTCTTTCTTTTGCCTTCCACTTTCCCCAGCATAATTGTCTTCTCTAGGCTTTCCTGTCTCCTCATGATGTGGCCAAAGTACTTCAACTTTGTCTCTAGTATCTTTCCCTCCAGTGAGCAGTCGGGCTTTATTTCCTGGAGGATGGACTGGTTGGATCTTCTCGCAGTCCAAGGCACTCTCAGAACTTTCCTCCAGCACCACAGCTCAAAAGTATCGATCTTCCTTCGCTCAGCCTTCCCTAAGGTCCAGCTCTCACATCCGTAGGTTACTACAGGGAATACCATGGCTTTGACTAGGCGGATCTTTGTTGCCAGTCTGATGTCTCTACTCTTTATTATTTTATCGAGATTGGACATTGCTCTCCTCCCAAGAAGTAAGCGCCTTCTGATTTCCTGGCCACAGTCTGCATCTGCAGTAATCTTTGCACCTAGAAATACAAAGTCTGTCACGGCCTCCACATTTTCTCCCTCTATTTTCCAGTTGTCAATCATTCTTGTTGCCATAATCTTGGTTTTTTTGATGTTTAGCTGCAACCCAGCTTTTGCGCTTTCTTCTTTCACCTTGATTAGAAGGCTCCTCAGCTCCTCCTCGCTTTTGGCCATCAGAGGGGTGTCATCTGCATATCTGAGGTTGTTAATGTTTCTTCCAGCAATTTTCACCCCAGCCTTGCATTCATCAAGCCCTGCACATCGCATGATGTGTTCTGCATACAAGTTGAATAGGTTGGGTGAGAGTATACAACCCTGCCGTACGCCTTTCCCAATCTTGAACCAGTCTGTTGTTCCATGGTCAGTTCTTACTGTTGCTACTTGGTCCTTATACAGATTCCTCAGGAGAGAGACAAGGTGATTTGTACCTGGATATTTTTCCATGAACTTGCTACAATGTATTATGATGCACACAGTTAAAGGCTTTAGAATAGTCAATAAAACAGAAATAGATGTTTTTCTGAAACTCCCTGCCTTTCTCCATTATCTGGCGGATATTGGCAATTTGATCTCTAGTTCCTCTGCCTTTTCTAAACCCAGCTTGAACATCTGGCAACTCTCGCTCCATGTATTGCTGGAGTCTTCCTTGCAGGATCTTGAGCATTACCTTACTGGCATGAGAAATAAGGGCCACTGTTTGGAAGTTTGAGCAGTCTTTAGCATTTCCCTTTTTTGGTATGGTGATATAAGTTGATTTTTTTTCCAGTCTGTTTTCCATATTTTCTGGCATATGGCATGCATCACCTTGACAGCATCATCTTTTAAGATTTTAAACAGTTCAGCTGGGATCCCGTCGTCTCCTGCTGCCTTGTTGTTAGCAATGCTTCTTAAGGCCCATTCAACCTCACTCCTCAGGATGTCTGGTTCTAATTCATTCACTACACCATCAAAACTATCCTCAATATTATTATCCTTCCTATACAGATCTTCTGTATAGTCTCGCCACCTTCTCTTGATCTCTTCAGCTTCTGTTAGGTCCCTGCCATCTTTGTTTCTTATCATTTTTGCCTGAAATTTACCTCCAATGTTTCTAATTTTCTGGAAGAGGTCTCTTGTCCTTCCTATTCTGTTGTCTTCTTCCACTTCCATGCATTGCTTATTTAAAAATAGTTCCTTATCTCTTCTGGCTAACTTTGTTTGCAGACGACACCAAATTGAGAGGGATAGCCAATACTCCAGAGGAGAGGAGCAGAATTCAAAACGATCTTGACAGATTAGAGAGATGGGCCAAAACTAACAAAATGAAGTTCAACAGTGACAAATTCAGGATACTCCACTTAGGCAGAAAAAACGAAATGCAAAGATACAGAATGGGGGACAATGCCTGGCTCGAGAGCAGTACATGTAAAAAAGATCTTGGAGTCTTTGTGGACAACAAGTTAAACATGAGCCAACAATGTGATGTGGTGGCAAAAAAAAAAAAGCCAATGGGATGTTGGCCTGCATCAATAGGAGCATAGTGTC